TGTAGGATCGTGTCAGTGTGCGATCATGTGAGTGTACGATCGTGTCACTGTGCGATCGTGTCAGTGTGCGATCGTGTCAGTGTGCGATCATGTCAGTGTACGATAGTGTCAGTGTGCGATCGTGTCAGTGTGCGATCGTGTCAGTGTGCGATCGTGTCAGTTTACGATAGTGTCAGTTTACGATAGTGTCAGTTTACGATAGTGTCAGTGTACGATAGTGTCAGTGTACGATAGTGTCAGTGTACAGTCATGTCTGAGTATTGTAGATGTACAGATTCTCTGGCCAATCTTTCTTTGGATTCTCGTGCCTCAATTGTCTTGTGCTGTCACCATCGTTCTCCCTGTCTATGATGTAAACAGAAAGTATGGCGACATGATATTAATTGAAAGTAAACAAGTCTTACCCTGCACCAACTGGTTTCCCAAGTACCCCAACAATACACTTACATACCTACATACAATGTATTTTTTTTAAATCTTGCCATACTTGAAATGTAACTAGATATATAAACCAATGGAACATAAACCCACTTCTTCAGACTTGAACACACCTATTGTTGTTGATCTGTCGCCAACTTGTCTTAGCCCTTTACATTTTTACCTACGGTCCAAAGATCTGTTACTAACATGGAGAATGGAAAATTGGTCTCTAACATAGATCTGTTAGAAAGATCACCACGCCGCCATAGTTAATGAAGTTTGTGATCATCGCTTTGTTTGTGATCATCGCTTTGTTTGTGATCATCCCTTTGTTTGTGATCATCCCTTTGTTTGTGATCATCCCTTTGTTTGTGATCATCCCTTTGTTTGTGATCATCGCTTTGTTTGTGATCATCCCTTTGTTTGTGATCATCCCTTTGTTTGTGATCATCGCTTTGTAAACTCGACTAAGCAGCAGCCAGTCGGCAGGGGAGGCTACTGTAATGTTAACACAGACATTTGTTTAAGGGAGACAACCCTGATAACAACGCTGACTTCTGTCACTAGCCTGGTGTTGACGGCATCACGGTCAATATGTAAATGTTGAAAATGTCAGTTACGTAAACTGATCAATGCTTTTACGTTTAAAGTACGCCTTCAACAATTTAATGACGTAACGGACTTGATTTGGAACCTTTTTCTTGTTGGAATAATTTTTTACTCCATTTTTTAAATAATTGATGTTTATGAATGTAGTTGGTGTAGATTTACATTTCTCTATTCTCATACTTTTTGTTCAGTGTCGACGTTTCTTGTATATGGTTCTCTAATGTCACCTGTAGACGTTCTTGTACTGTAGACACGTAAATTGTTTACCTGTTGACGTTTCTTCTATGTGGTTCTCTGTCATCTGGCTGTAGACGTTCTTGTACTGTAGCCACGTAAATTGTTTACCCAGTTAAAGGGAAGGAAGCAATTTCAAGAGCCAGAACTCTAGATCCACACACCTTTATCTGCTCCAATGTTAAGGGATACCTTCTACGCAAACAGATCGTTTATCAATGTTTATGTTAGAGGTGTCAAAAGTACTTTTACACACACGTACAAGCTAGTAGTTGTACACACGTACAAGTTAGTAGTTGTACACACACGTACTAGCTAGTAGTTGTACACACACGTACAAGCTAGTAGTTGTACACACACGTACTAGCTAGTAGTTGTACACACACGTACAAGCTAGTACTTGTACACACACGCACAAGCTATCATTCGTACGTTAGATATTAAAACATTTAGCAGCATAAGTAGACAAAGACCTTTAACAATCCATGTTTTCTGGTAAATCAGAATTTTCCCTCAAAATTTAATTTCCTCTTGGACGTTGAAGTTAAAAATAAAATTTTGTTCCTTCTTCGCTCGCGTCTAATGTTTGGGTAGATTTTTTAACAAACCGCAAACTTGAGCAAATGAACTTGAAACTTTTTATATCCGCCAACGTCTGTTACATCAGTGCGGTGTTTGCCTACATCATGGGCCACTTGAAGCACTTGAGATGCGGAAGATTAGCATCTCTTTCAAAGGTTCATTAAAACCTATTAGTTATAAGATCATTAGATCTACTATGCCTTTTTAATTTAAGTTTGTCTACGCCAGATAAACACCGCCATCTTCTGTCCGTTATGTAAACAATTCAACATGTGATTGGTGTAATGTGGTAGTCACGTGTCTTGGCGTGCTAAGATGACGTAGATTGTATAAACAAATGACTGACATGATGACATAATCAACTTAGTCACTTGATCTCATGACCTCGTGACCCTATTGACCAGGAACCCGTACGAGCAGAGGCCATTCTGTTTTCGTGTCGAAGCAGACGTGAAACATTTTTTTGGTCTGCCGGTGACAAGCGCGTCAACAATGTGAACGTGACGCGCGGGATCGATGAAGGAAATAATAGGCGGACATCTGTTGACATCATCTTTTGTCGTCGCCCCTACCATAACCCCATCACCCTCCACCACAACCCCATCACCCCCCCCACCCCCCAGTAAAGGAGCACGTGAAATTGAAATCTGAATTGTGGTGTCGCAATGGCGTGTGTGGTGTCTCAATTGCGTCCTCCGTCATGCTGGGTCAAGGTGCCCTTTTAAACAGCTTACATTTTCGATTTATTTTAAAGCAGTTAAGCTGAACACTCGTTATCGTATTCAACTGCCTTAGATTGTTTTAATTAAAATTATTTGTTCTGTTTGTAATACCGCTATCTATTACTTCCTGATGGGCAAGGTTTAAAAAACTTATCCTAAGACAAGTAATATAACTTATATTGTTAACAGAGTGGGGAGAACAGTTGGGATGCTGTTAAAAGTATATATTTTCTAAATAAATTCCATTTCGTTTGGGGGGGGGGGGGGGGAGGGGCTCCACTACGGGCCATGTTATGACTGAACTCCCTATTGAGATGTGTGAAGGCCATGTTATGACTGAACTCCCTACTGAGATGTGTGAGGGCCATGTTATGACTGAACCTATTGAGATGTGTGAGGCACGTGAAACATGTTGACGTGGACATTTGGTCTTGTCATGGCTTCACCTCATCCTCCCGCCAACATGGATGTTTGCCGTCAACTCGCCTCTCGTGTCCACGTTACTTCTGCTCCCTCGCCCCAAGCTGTTGGATCGTCTGCTACACTATTTTTCTTCCAAAAATATCCGGCTGTTGCAGATTTTTTTTATTGAAGCAAGACGAAAGGCAGGTTATATTTAAAAGCAGTGCCAGTCACCACATGCTTTGAATTAGCGTGTGTTTATACTTTAAATAAGACCAGTTAAATTAGCTTGATTGGTGTGAAGACTAATTGACATTCAGCATCAATCAGTTAAAACGCCATCTTGAATAAATTATAACCTGTTCTAATTACAGCTTGATGACTTAACTTTAAATAAAAGTCCACATAGTTTACGCCTTGATCTGTCAATATGTACACCAGCTGTAGATACATCAATAACAATATGTTTTATTCTCAACACACATCTTTACTTTGATTTAATGTATTTGCCAAAATTTAATTTGGAAAATTCTCCACTTTTTATACCAGTATATGTTTTAGCCCTACAAAAAGTAAATTATTTAGTGCATTGGGAACTTGATTTTTTTCTTAATCAAGTATGACACTTAGTGGCATTGAACTGATCACATTTTTTGACTGGCAATTGAACTGATCACATTTTTTGACTGGCAATTGAACTGATCACATTTTTTGACTGGCAGTTGAACTGATCACATTTTTTGACTGGCAGTTGAACTGATCACATTTTTTGACTGGCAGTTGAACTGATCACATTTTTTGACTGGCAATTGAACTGATCACATTTTTTGACTGGCAGTTGAACTGATCACATTTTTTGACTGGCAGTTGAACTGATCACATTTTTTGACTGGCAGTTGAACTGATCACATTTTTTGACTGGCAGTTGAACTGATCACATTTTTTGACTGGCAGTTGAACTGTTCACATTTTTTGACTGGCAGTTGAACTGATCACATTTTTTGACTGGCAGTTGAACTGATCACATTTTTTGACTGGCAGTTGAACTGATCACATTTTTTGACTGGCAGTTGAACTGATCACATTTTTTGACTGGCAGTTGAACTGATCACAATTATTAGCGCAATTTCCATTCTGGAGAATTGCGTTTATTAACTCGTCTTTTCTGAGAATGGATGGATGGATGGATGTGTGTCCGCAGCTTTAAGTCGTATCTCCTCCTCAATGAAGCAATATCGAGGACTAGTTCCAAAAGCAAATATGTTAAGCAAGTTACCAGGATGAACATAGGCCAAAAACATTCCGGTTTTCTTTCATGGATTTCCCAGAAAAGCCAAAAAACTTCGAAAAAAATGCAGTTTTTGGCCCATATCTCGGCAACCAGACCACTTAGCGACTTGAAACATGTACCAATCGATTCCTGCCATAATTTAGAACAATATTGCCGAAGAAAGTTTTCAAAAATATCCTTTCGTTCGGTCACAAAAATTTTTTGAATTAATTAAAATTTGGACCGAATTAGTAGGCATTTTATCCAACCACACCACACGCGTCATCACGTTCAATAGCTGCGCCATCACGTTCAATGGCTGCGACATCACGTTCGGTAGCTAGGCGCGCAATGGTTTTTAGTCATGTAACTCTATTGTAAATAAAACATGTAAAATACTGGAAAAAAAATTAATAAAAAACGTTTTAATAACTAACCAATGGTTTTACTAACCCTGCTCTTGATTTACGCTACGACAGAGCTATTTTTAGATAACATAAGGAAATTGCGCTAAAATTGTCACTAGACTTTTTTAATTACTTGTTTTGACTGGCAGTTGAACTGATCACATTTTTTGACTAGCAGTTGAACTGATAACCTTTTTTTACTGACAGTTGAACTGATCACATATTTTGACTGACAGTTGAACTGATCACATATTTTGACTGACAGTTGAACTGATCACATTTTTTGACTGACAGTTGAACTGATCACATATTTTGACTGGCAGTTGAACTGATCCTTTGATCCTTGTTTGACAGGTGAGAGTGGCTCAGGTAAGACGGAAGCCTCTAAAATTATCATGAGATATATTGCTGCAGTCACCAACACCAGTGGACAGAAGGAGGTAGAAAGGTAAGCAGCTCATTGGTAAACAGGTCATTGGCTAGGTGAATAAAGTATCTCCACTGTATAAACCATACTCTACAGTTTTATTAACTTTTATTTATTTCTCAATGTTTTTTGTTAGTTTTTGGGATGTGGCAAATCTTGTAATTTTGAATTCACTTCTAATGCAGCGATTTTGCTGTTAGAGTAATTAAAATTTAATTTAAAAATTACTAAGTCCAACAACAAGAGGGGAGATAACAAGATTAAACACTAGTGATCACTCTATCAGCTGGCCATTGACATTGAACTGTTTTTTCATGGCTTAGTGATTTTTTTTCTTTGCCTCAGCATTGACTGGTAGACAAAGAGGAGCAAATAATTGTCTTTTAAATTGCAAGCTACTGATTGTTTTTTGTTAAGTTGTAGCCTACGTTGTGTTAACTCCATTAAGAAGGAATCACTAAAAATGGGAAAATAAAACAAATATAAAAACCTCTATAAAAGTAAGTTCTTAAATGCACCGGAATAGAAAAATAAACCAATCTTGTTTTCTTTATTTAATAAAAGCTTTTGTGCTAAAATATGTAAGATCTCATTAGCAACAAAATTGTATATGAAAGAAAGCAAGTTTGTTTTATTTTCTTATTTTCAGTGTATCTAAAAGCTTATTATCATTGCAGTTTTTATATTTGTTATATTTTTATATTTTTATATGTTATTATGTTTAGTTAAGCTATTTGCATCAATTATCTGTTGAGATTTTTACAAAAGCTAATTTGGTCATAAAGCTCACAAGTTCTTGAAAAAAAAAACTGCTTAAAAAAATTATTCTTGTTAGAAATCAACTTTTAATTTTAAAAAAAAAAGTTCAAATTTAAAATCACAAGGTTATCATAACTCTTCTATTAGCCCTCTTTTGTTTGTGTCTTTTCCTGCAATGAAGCATTTATAGAGATTAGAACATACAACTCTGAAAAACTTCAAACAAAGTCTCTCATCATGTTTTTTAGCAGCTTCTTTGATTAAAAAAAAAACTGGATTAAAATGTGCCTGGTATTTGAATGTTTACATCCAGCATATTTTGTTCAAGTCCAGCAGTAGTCATCAATTATTTATGTACATTTTTTTTTATTTTCTCCTACTTTTGCAGAGTCAAAGATGTTCTTATCAAATCTAACAACATTCTGGAGGCTTTCGGCAATGCTAAAACAAATCGTAATGACAACTCAAGTCGTTTTGGAAAGTACATGGATATTAATTTTGATTTTAAAGGAGATCCTATTGGGGGACACATCAGTAACTATTTACTTGAGAAGGTAAATAATCTTGTTTACACATCAATAACTATATGTAAACAAGGTAAACATCAGTAACTATTTACTTGAGAAGGTGATTAATCTTGTTTACACATCAATAACTATTTACTTGAGAAGGTAAATAATCTTGTTTACACATCAGTAACTATATGTAAACAACGTGAATTTTATTTTTAAACATCTGTAACTATTTACTTAAGGTGATTATCTTGTTTACACATCAATAACTATATGTAAACAAGGTAAACATCAGTAACTTGAAAGCAAATGGTCTTCTTTACACGCAGGATATTTCTCCAGATGTGTTTGATCTAAGTATTAAAAAATAAATAAAACTCCTAACTTTTGTTACATTATTTTTTCTTTCTTTCAGAGCAGAGTTGTCTACCAACAAAATGGGGAAAGAAATTTCCACTCCTTTTATCAGGTAAAGTGTTTCATGTATCCTTTTAGTGTTGGATAAATTTGGCAGTTAAAATGGGCTTAATTCTCTTTGATATTTTGACATGAATTCTAATTAAATGACATAATTTATAGCTGTTGTCAGACATGAATTCTAATTAAATGACATCATTTATAGCTGTTGTCAGACATGAATTCTAATTAAATGACATAATTTATAGCTGTTGTCAGACATGAATTCTAATTAAATGACATAATTTATAGCTGTTGTCAGACATGAATTCTAATTAAATGACATAATTTATAGCTGTTGTCAGACATGAATTCTAATTAAATGACATAATTTATAGCTGTTGTCAGACATGAATTCTAATTAAATGACATAATTTATAGCTGTTGTCAGACATGAATTCTAATTAAATGACATAGTTTATAGCTGTTGTCAGACATGAATTCTAATTAAATGACATCATTTATAGCTGTTGTCAGACATGAATTCTAATTAAATGACATCATTTATAGCTGTTGTCAGACATGAATTCTAATTAATTAAATGACATCATTTATAGCTGTTGTCAGACATGAATTCTAATTAAATGACATCATTTATAGCTGTTGTCAGACATGAATTCTAATTAAATGACATAATTTACAGCTGTTGTCAGGAGCACAGGAGGGGATGCTGAGTGAGTTCAAACTTAGCCGAGACCCCAGCAAATACAGCTTCATCAACCAGGGGGGCGATCCCAAGGTAAGACATGTCACATAGCCAACTTTGTCAGGGTTTAACATTATAACAAACAACTTTGTCAGGGTTTAACATTATAACCAGCTTTGTCAGGGTTTAACATTATAACCAACTTTGTCAGGGTTTAACATAAACCAACTTTGTCAGGGTTTAACATTATAAACCAACTTTGTCAGGGTTTAACATTGTAACCAACTTTGTCAGGGTTTAACATTGTAACCAACTTTGTCAGGGTTTAACATTATAACCAACTTTGTCAGGATTTAACATTATAACCAACTTTGTCAGGGTTTAACATTATAACCAACTTTGTCAGGGTTTAACATTATAACCAACTTTGTCAGGGTTTAACATTATAACCAACTTTGTCAGGATTAAATATTAAAGCCAACTTTATCAGGAATAACAAACAGCTGTTGCAAAGAATATCATAGCCAACTTTATCAGGATCCACAGTGATTGTTTGATCATATGTATTGTATACATTTAAAATAATGAATTTCATATTTGATCATGGGTATTTAGCATAACAAATGTTATCAATTGTCATTATTTGTTCATAAAGTTTATTCACTTTTAACTATATTACAAACTATTTATAAATTTTATTTTCTAAAGTGTGCTTATTGTTAAATGATTTAGCTTGTTCAGAACATTTTTTAATCAAGAGATATTTATGCCTTTACTCTTGTTACTCCTTGTAAGTTATGCTTTTACTCTTGTAAGAACTCCTTGTAAGATTCCTAAGATATCACTTTCTCACCAGTTTATTTTTGATGATTCCCTCTACAGGTAGCTTCAATAAATGACAAGCAAGACTTCCGTGGTGTTATGGATGCCATGAAGGCCACTGGTTTCTCAGAGGATGAAATAGCAACAGCTTGGAAAATTGTTGCCTCCATCTTACACCTGGTTGGTCTTTTCTTGCAAGTGTTGTTTAGCCTGTGCTCTATAATTAGAAGAAAGTTAAAACATCAGCCAGTTATAGAAAATAATTTTTAATGTGTGATAGGATATTATATAGACAATGAATACTTTCAGAAATCCGCAAGCAGCTTGAGAAAATTAAATTTTGTGAGTGTTGTGTTTCAGGGTAACATAGAGTTTGAAGGTGAGGACCAGTCAGAGATCAGCAACCAGGACGAGCAGAAGATTGTGTCTTCACTGCTGGGGGTGACCCAGGAAAACCTGGAGAAGGCTCTCTGCTCCAGGGTGATAGCAGCAGGTGGCCAGGTGGTTGATAAACATCTCAATGTTCCTGAGGCTCACTATGCCAGGAAAGCCTTTGCCAAGGTTAGTGTTATATATATGCCTGATACTAGCTGAACATTTAACTTTATGAAAAATGTAAATATTTTTTAACTCGTACGCTATTCCAAGAATTTCTGGAAAATAGTTTTGTAGATCAGTTTTTCTTGGTTTAATAGTTGGTTAGTAATATAAATATCAGTTTTTCAAAACAAACTTGACTATGACAATTGAACAAGTATGACCACTGCTAACAAGTTTGTTTTTCAGGCCTTGTACGACCGCTTGTTTACCTGGATAGTTGGTCGTATCAATGATGCAATAGATCCCAAGCATGGTGGAATTGTTGGCAAGAACACAGTCATTGGTGTCTTAGATATCTATGGCTTTGAGATTTTTGACAACAACAGGTACTCAACTTGACTTGATTTTACCTCTGAACATGTTCAGTATGTATTTGTTGGAATTCGCTTGTGATTTTTTTTTTGTCTACTTGAAAATTAAATAAATTGTTTTTTTATTAAAATTGCAAAGTTAATAAAATTTTATTAATTTTTTTGATAGCTTTGAACAGTTTTGCATCAACTACTGCAATGAAAAACTGCAGCAGTTGTTCATTGAGTTGGTCTTGAAGCAGGAGCAAGAGGAATACATGAGGGAAGGGATAGAGTGGCAACATGTAAGTTGGTTTCTCCGGTCTGCTACATATCTGACCTTTTTGTGTTTGTTCTTTTAATCTTTACCTTGTGTTTATTATTGATGGTCATAAACCTAATATCTATGCATTGTTTTATAGGTGGATTATTTCAACAACAAGATAATCTGTGACCTGGTTGAAGTTCCCCATCAAGGTGTTTTTGCCATCTTAGACGAGGCTTGTCTCAATGTGGGCAAGATCACAGACGAGGTCAGTGTCTGCAGCAATAAAAATGTCATTTCTATCTTCTATTTTAAATTAGTTAGTTACACACAATTTTACTTTTTTTTTTTTTTTAATAACAGATGTTCTTGGAAGCGATGGCAAAAAAACTGGCTAAACATGACAGATTTACTTGCAGACAGGTGATTACAATTTTTTTTTAATAAATTGCTAGTCATCCTTTTCAGGTGTAATTATTAGATATTTTAGCTGTCAAATCAGTTGGTTGATTACAAGCACTTAAGTGTATGATAACAGTGTGTTAATTAATGACCTGACCACTGCAGTTGGAGCCAGCAGACAAAAGTCTGGAGCACCACAGAGACTTCAGGATCAAACACTACGCTGGTGATGTCACTTACAGTGTTGTTGGCTTCATTGACAAGAATAAAGACACACTCTTCATGGACTTCAAAAGGCTTCTGTTCAACAGGTAGAGACATTTTCTTTCTGTTCAAAATATTTGTTGTTAAATATCTTTAGAAGCAGAAACACATTTCTAGAACTTGCTGAGATCTTGTAGGATGTTTGTTGATGATGTTAGTAATAAAACAGATATTGTTAGTTACCTCACAAGTTAAAGACAGTTATCAATACTATGGACATTTCGACCCAAGGTCTTCGTCAGCGCACAACAGATCATGTTGTAGCACAGATGCTTGTTGGTGATGTTGTAGCACAAATGTTTGATGATATCCTTGTACTTACTGTTTAGAAGTTTCCAATAAGTTATTAAATTTCTTTTCCATTTGACCACAGCTCCAATAGGGTGATTAAATTCATGTGGCCAGAAGGTGCCCAAAGTATCACTGAGGTAAGACAGCACATCACCTCTATGTTAGTTCTGCTTTCTTGAATAATATTTAACACTTCTTTATTGTTAGAAATCTAATGCTAAAATCTTTTATTTTAGACCACCAAAAGACCAATTACTGCAGGTACATCTTTCAAAAACTCCATGATTGCTTTGGTTGAAAACCTAGCTAGCAAGGTAAAGAAAATGAATCTCTCACTTAAGTTTTTTTTTTTAGAAAAGTGCTTTAGCCAATTTTGTTTTGTTTCGAGAAGATTATTTGTTGGTATCAGACATAAGAACTAATGTATAATATATCATTATGTGATTAGTTTTTTACAATTTACTTGCATGATGGTGATATGTATATCCAATTGTAGATTCCATTTTATGTGCGCTGCATCAAACCAAATGAAGTCAAGTCCCCCCTGCTGTTTGATGAAACAAGGACTCGCCATCAAGTCATGTACCTGGGATTACTTGAAAACGTCAGAGTTCGCAGGGCTGGCTTTGCCTACAGAATGCAGTATGATCGCTTCATGAAAAGGTTAATTTACCCTAAATTTTTTCAATTGAGAATAATGTAAGACAGTTGTAATAGATTTAACTAAACTGATTTTGTGTTGACCACTTCAGGTACAGTAATGTAAGACAGTTTTAATAGATTGAAATAAACTGATTTTTGTGTTGACCACTTCAGGTACAGTAATGTAAGACAGTTTTAATAGATTGAAATCAACTGATTTTTGTGTTGACCACTTCAGGTACAGTTATGTAAGACAGTCTTAATAGAATAAACTGATTATATGTTGACCACTTCAGGTACAAGATGATCTGCAAGAAAACTTGGCCAAACTTCCATGGTCAGGTGACGGATGGCGTGAAGACAATTATTGACACACTAGGTTTCTCGTCTGATGTGAAGTATGGGAAATCCAAGATCTTCATCCGGTCACCACAGACATTATTCTCTCTAGAACAAGCCAGGGATGCCAAGATTCCAAGCATTGTTCTCTGTTTGCAGAGGGTGAGACATTATCTTTTCACCTTTGGTCTACTGGCTTATGTGGCATGACATTTTACATGTTATTAATGTTACTTGCTATTGTCACTGGAATACTTTTGCTTATTTATCAGTTGTTAATTTCTACAAACGGTCTCTGTTGGTAAACTATTATTTACAAAAATTAAAACAGTTTAGTTATAAAAACTAAAACCAATTTCTTTTTTTTATGAAACATTTTTTTAAATTATTTTTTAAATGAAAATAGTTTATTTATAATTATAACAATAGTTCTAAATTTATAAAATTGTAAGTTGTTAATAAAAACAAACATTGTCTATTTGCAGCATGCACGTGGAGGTTTAGCAAGAAAGAGGGTTCGCAGAATCAAAGCGGTTTATTTAATTATGAGTCACTACAGAAAATATAAACTGCGCTGCTATGCCCTTGCCTGCCTAGAGAGGTTTAAAAATGCCAAGAGAATGAAAGACTACGGCTTAAGTGTCCAGTGGCCTAAACCACCTAACTCAATGAAATCCACAGTGGAGCTGTTAAAGAGAGCACACGCCAGGTGAAGTTCACATCTCTCAAAGCTGTTTGTTTTCAAACTTTAACTCCAGTTGACTGAAGTCATTCTTAGGAACTATATAAATAAATAATAAATTTAAATGCTTGATAAGCAGCTTAGTGCTGACAACTTTTGAACCGATTGGAGATTGTTTTTTTTTTGTGTGTCATACCAAAGGGATAATGTGTCTGTCAGCCTTTTATCTCTTAACTATTGCCAAGTACTAATTAGAGCTGTGGACCTACTGAATATTGAACAAACACAGCACACTTTAGAAAACAGCCTTGCAATAAACTTTTGTAATGTAACCATGTATAAGAACAGTCATTTGACCGATTTTGTTTTGTATAAGGAACCAAGCACAAAAAACAATTGAATGCCATATTAAGTTTAAGCTAGAAATGAACTAACCTTGATATGTGTTAACCATTTGTTACTTATTGTACAGATGGCGAGCCCACATGATTCTCTCCAAAGTCCCAGAGAATGAAAAACCTATGCTGCGGCTCAAAGTCATGGCTGGTGATGTCTTAGTTGGGAAACGCCAGGACTGGGGGGTCAAACGCAACTGGGAGGGAAATTATTTGGGAACTGTAAGTTTCTTAAGTTATTTTATTCTAATTTATATTGTTTTTCTCAAACCATTTGACATTGCAATAATGTAGAGGTTAAGAAAATTTTGAAATTATTTCAGACAAAAGACAACAGCAACACAAGTGACTTCGTCTCTCAAGTCAACATGCTAAAGAGCAGAGACGGTTTCTCTAAAATTTTGTTTTCATCCTATGTTAAAAAGGTAACAAGGAAACAATGTTTTCCTTCTTCTATTGTCTGTTCTCTAATGTTGAGTTTTAATTAACATAAAAGAAGAATAAATTGGTATTTTAACACATAGTTTCTATGAAATCTAAAGTATTGTTTGAAAATTATGCAATTTAAATGACACAAAAAGTTTTAACTACTGCAAATTTTTTGTTCTTAGGCCAACAAATACAACAAAACAGCAGATAGAGGAGTGATCATCACTGATAAATTTATTTACAAGGTGGATGTGAAGAAAAAATTTAAGCCTATGAATAAGGGGACACCACTGACAAATGTAAGATAAATTTGCACCAGTTAAAATGTCTATTTGATTGCAAGAACTCTCTAAACAGTGACTAAACCCACGCAATTTCTTTTTAATATGCAAAAAATACCTTTCAAGTATAAAACTGACAGAAAAGGTTATCAAAACTCTAAAACTTCGTTTCAGTCATAATGGCTTTTAACTCTACTAATGTAAATATTATTTGACAATCAATAGCCGATCAAAATGCAACTGAAATCTTTTATGTTCCAGATCACAGGTGTAAGTGTTACACCTGGGAAGGACCAGCTGGTCATCATCCACCTGAGTGGTGGCAATGACTTGGTCTTGTGTCTACAAAACCCAGCGCAGGAAGAAAGAGTTGGGGAACTTGTTGGAGTTTTAACATCACATATGCACAAGTAAGTTTTTTTTTACTGCTGATACTACATCCCACCCTTGGATGGTAGAGAATGTAGAGGATGTGGCTGCTAAACTGAGTCTTTGAATTCAGTCTAGTGAATTAAAGTAAATAACTTTTTTTTTAAAAATCTGCAGAATTATGAAAAAAGATCTGAGAGTGAATATTTCTAAAAATATGAATTGCATGCTGGGAAACAAACCACGGACAGTAGTGGTCAAAGAAATAGCTGAAAATGGAGGAACTGTCTTTAAGAAAGAAGGAAATGGGTTGGCACTTTGGTGGCCAAATGCTTAAGATTTGTTCTGTGTGAAATACGCAATATATACTGATATGTAAGACACACTGTGGTTAGTGCTCCAAATAATTATAGTAACCCTAATATATCCACCTGAGAAATTTATGAAGGGGCGAATTCCTTTTTATCTTGTACATTTTTTAACAAAGTGTAGAATTTGAAATCCTTCAAACCATTGATAAGATCCAGTATTTGTAAAGACCACCAAGCTGAGCTGCTATTTTACTTTTTTAGGTACCTGTACACTGGTTTTAATTTGTTGTAACTTTATCAATAGATCATGGTTATACCAACCCTTTAATGTTTGCGGGTTATAGTAGGGGAGGTAAGCCATATGGTCTGACCAACCCATCCTCTGTTTTGAAAACAAGGGGAGAAAAGCCTTTTAGCACACCACATGATTGTTGACATTTTGTTTAGTCCTGAGAGTTTACAAGCCACTGCATTTGTTTTGTATTCCAGATTGTACAGTTATTTACTCTTGTTTTTAATGTCAGTTAGGTGTGATTCCAAATGGTACAGTTATTTACTCTTTATTGTCTAAAGGTGATTCTAAATTGTACAGTATAGTTTTTAAATTTCTATGTTGGGTGATTAGATAGAAAACTGTGATATTCTTATTTTAAAAAGTTTTATTGGAACATTTTGGGATTTTATTAACTGAAGCAATGTTATTTTTAATGATTTTCTTGTCAATTTAAAATATCCACATTTTTTTTCTTCACTTACGGCTAAAAATCACAATTGATAAAAAATAAAAATTCATCCATGCATTTTCCCCCTAATTTGCAATGAAATCAGATGTAAACATTGAACGTATGAACAGATTCTATCTCTGACACACCCTTTACATATGTTACACATATTGTTTTATATGATTTTAGCTAATTCTGTATATATTAAAGCTTTTTATTCATACCTTATTTATACTGTCCAAGACTATTACTACTTATAATAAGAAAATAGATGCAGCTTGAATAAGGCTGAAGAAGAGGCTACATTGGTCATATTGTTGTGCTGTTAACTTAATGCTGCGTGTTTTGTAGCTTCTAGTGGCATAATTATTTTGATGTGCAGCAGTATTAAAAGTTATGGGTGTTTTATATTTATTTATGCTGCGCTAAAAAACTTGGCTAAATGTGTTACTGTGCTATAAATCCTTACTTAAATATTTAATATCCGTGTTTATTAATCTTACTTTTTATATGCGCATTTTTAAGACTGCCAAAAAATGTTCTGTAAGTTGTGAAATCAGGTTTTTGGATGTTACTTAACATATTCGCCTTGTATATTTGTGTGCAAATATTAAAAACATTTTTGTTAGATTTTTTATAAGGTGACTAGTGGATTGTAAGATGTCTTAATAATGTGAAACTAAAAAAAAAATCAAGACAGTTCACTGAGATATAATGAAAGACAGAAAACCATTCCTTTTTGGTCAATTATATCTGAATGTTTCTGACAATTTAAAAGTAGTTTCATTTTTCACAAATACCATTTTTAATTTGGTGTTAGGGTCATACACTTTTTTTTATTGCTTTGTAAAGTCTAGACATTTTTTTATACTAATATATAGTCCAATCCTTCAAGCTATAGTATTACTTATGTAATCCATTTATTTATATTTATTGTATCCTATTTATTCCTTTGAATAATTTTTTACAGGTCTTATTTTCTCTAAGAGAAACATTTTCATTTTCTTAGCCAAAACTGTATTGGAATATTTATCACTGCGATTTTGCTTTAGCTGTCATGACGATATGCTTGTAAATATGCAATTTGGAGTAGTCGTCCATCTTGTTCTGTTGTGCCTTTGTGTTCTTTTAGAAAATTCAACAACTGATGTAACAATTTATAATTATTTCTTGAAAGGAATTTACATCCTAATGGCCGGTAACTGTTTAATGTAATTGTTGGGAAAATTTCCGTGGTTTTTTTTTTTTTTTTTTTAACTATGCATTTTTAACATTCCTCAAAGTGAATGCCTTAGTGAACTTTTCTGTTACCTCTGAAACCTGTGCTTGAAGTGCGTTTATTCTTGTGATCCCAGCTCTATTTCACTGTGATATCATCCCACTGGAAACAGCCTTAATACTTTTTACTAATTACTTTTTGATCTGAATAACTTTTGAACTTTTAGCTGCCTCCTTTCTACATCTACCTTATATTAGATCTTATATCTATTATGTTAAATTATTTGTAACTTGTACTTATAACCAGCTATTTTCTGTAGGACTGAAGTGTATGTGTATATTGAATCACCAAGTTCCAACTGCACACAAATGCCAAATGTTAACCCTAGATCTAACTATTGTGTTGAATGTGAGGTTTTCTAATTGTATGACCACTATGCTTATGTTTTAAATGAAGACATCTGACTAGTTAAGGTTAACCCAATAGATCTAACTATTGTGTTGTGTGTGAGGTTTTCTAATTGTATGACCACTATGCTTATATTTTTGACAACTGACTAGTTAGGCATTGAACTCAACGGATACATTGAGGAGCTAAACCACTTGTAGATCAGATGGTGAGCTAAAGGACAACCAAAAATTCATGAACTGTTCTTTATTTTCAGTCATTAAGTGATATCAAATTATGTTTGAAATGATGTACAACAGACCCAGCTACATATTTACTATATGGTGAACGTAAACTGCATATATATTATTCTATTGTTGAGTACTTCTTTAGTGTTGATCTGCAATCTTTGCTTATTTACAATATCATTGTCACTAGTAACAATAAATATTGCAATATACTGATATTTGTTTAATTTTTTAACCCAGTCTTGTAGTTCACATTGATACCAACAATATTGTATTAGTCAACATCAGTTTCTTACTAGCATGACTGAGACAGTTTATTAGACTAAAATACAGCTTTTAACATTACTTTTTTAAAAAAAGCAACAGTTTGAAATCACACTTTCTGAACACCCCCCCCCCCCCTCTCATCATCTTAACACGTCACAAAATTCCGATCTCCTCCACATTGGAGTGTGAAGTAATTCATGGACGACCCCTTAATCAAACATGCGCCTAATGGACGCTGGTTAGGATCGCTTAACCAGAGACAAGATCATATAAGTCTGTAGGCCCTACGATTTTAGGCCTTCTAGAATTGCCGTCTGCAGAGCCGGCGTTAGGAATACGCGGGGCCTAGGGCCAACCATCCGCGCGGGCCTGCTTTCTTTCATTGTAATAATAATAATAATATGTGTGTGTGTATAGTCCTATATAATATACATACACAAATAATAACACAAATGTTTTGTAGTCTATAAGACTTTAATAACAGATGTTTACCTCTTCCACGTTTTAACCCAATGTTCTTAGTTTTGTTTCCTTGCTAAGATATTAAATCACTTTTGACAGTTATGTAATGTAATCCATACCAAATCATTTAAGAAAATTCAATCACGTGCCAAATAATTAGGAAAAGAAAGTTGTTTAAATTGTTTGTTGATGACTAATTGTTAATATAAAAGCAGGGGCGTAGCGAGGGGGGGGGGGGGGTGCGGACCGCACCTGGTGACACCATTTAGGGGGGGGGGGGTGACACCAAGGCAAAAAAATAGCAAAACATATACAAAAAATGATAGTTCCACTTTAAAAAGTGGTTAATTAGAGTGTTAAATAGTCTTTTAAGAGCAAATTTGATAAATCCCGACAAGGGTGGAGGTGGCTTTGATGACACCATGACGTAAACTGGCTAATGATAGAGAAAACATGCTACATCAACACTTTTAACTTTCTTCCAAAAAAATAATAATAAATCACTCTGTCTAATGCCCATTGATATAGATCCTAAGGGCCTCCTCCCCCCCCCCCCCCCCTCGTCGCCCTCTTCCCACCCCTCTGCACGCAACTGAATGTTAATTTTGTTATACCAAGACAAGTAGGGCTACATATACATCTAAAACAAGAAAGTCAGGACTAGCGTTCATCAGGTCACCAACTGTCTACTACAGGCATCCCGTCTGCTCACTAAAATGACGTCTTCATCGGTATCACTTTACGTGCTTCCCAAATTTACATCTCATGTCAGGTCGGGGGCTGATTCGCGTCCAACTATCTCCAGTCAGCTCAGGTCAAATGCGAGGCGACCGTACCCTACACAAAGGGGAAGTCTGACACTGTTTTTTGTATCGAATTACGGGCTGCCCCAGTTCAGGTGGGTGATAACTCACTAACATCAAACCGTGGCCTCAGTTACAACAATCAACAACTTCGGCATTCGACCATTTAGTTTTTCCCCATTGAATTCAGCCACAATTTATTTAAGTTTACAAACTAATTCAGATAACAATGACAGTGCTGAAGCGCGGGGCCCCTTCAAGCGCGGGGCCTGGGGCGACCGCCCCGTTTGCCACCCCCTAACGCCGGCTCTGTATTTTTAAGAAGTAAACTTGCGCAATCTGATATTTGAGTTTGCCCGCATAACTTAAAGAAAAAACCCAAACATCCAAGGCAGTTGAGGAAATCCGCATAGCTTAGCATGTTCACTATGTGCAAGTATAGGGCCTATCGTATTAAAAGGCAACAGAACAAAACAGGTATTGTAGTAATTTGTAGAGAATGTGTCGCTAAACGTCGACCCTCCCCCCCTTCCTGCGATTGAGTTCCAAAGATCGACCCCCTCCCCACATCTCTTTCCATCTCTTTACATAAACACAAATGGGGCATTTATTGTGTGTCACGTAGAACTTTAGTGCAAGCAAAACTTGGTAACTTGGTAAATTAGTCTATTTTAAGTTTTAAAAGTAATATCACAAACATTTTTAATGATATTTTAAAATATTTAGGCCTATTATTTTGATTTCTATAGATTCTAAAGGAATTTAAAAGTAGCGGTTATCTGGCACGCTTCTGCAACATCTTGACCCATTTTGTTTCATAAGCCACTGTTTCCTGGTTCATACCTGTTAAAACGGGAATTCCCCTGGATACCTGAAAAGTAACTTTACACACTACACCTTGAGCAATGGCGTCTTCTATTTCACACGAAACATGTTGACTATTTATTAGTTTTTTCATGATTTTTAAAAAATAAAAACTCACTTATATGACAATGGCATGTTCTCAAAGGAGGTTGGTAAAGTTTGAAGCTGTTGTTTAAGACTTAAGAAGTTCAATAACTACATTATAAAATAATTTAGGCCTAAGTTTAAATTTTAAAATTAGATCTTGATCTACAGCCTACTTACTACTAATATTACTAAATATTAGTAGAATTTAGCTAGAATTTAGTGATCTACTACTTGTAAATTAGTTGATTAGTGAAACACATAACTAGTCTATAGCTATAGGCTTATAGTTATAGATCTACCAGTTAGGCCTATAGGCCTAATTTTAAATTTAAGTCCTAAATCACTTACTTATAAATAAAACAATGACTCATCATTAAGGCTGTTTATTACTAAAGTAAAGTAGGCCAAAAAATATTGATATAAATAGCCTAACATTAACAAACAATGCAATTATTTATAATTTAGGGGACAGTAAAAAAGTTATTTGATATTTATTGAAAATTAGGCCTATTGTTGCAATAGTGACTCTTTATTCTACGTAGAGATTCTAGATCTAAGTCTAGATCTAGAAGAGCTGTTACTTAGTTCATTGGTATAACCATGACCTGATATGTTGTCATCCAGTCAACTGATTGGTCTACTAGATGTAAAATAGCTATAATTGTAATGACTCAACACTATCCTCTTTGCCTACTTTACAATAACTTTACAGGTTAACCTTGTGATATATTTATATTTTCTATTAACCCTGTAGCGTGTTTTCATATTCACTTGTGTAACAGACTACCTATAATATTATAGAGCCTATTATTTTAAACTCAATTAATAAAGACTTACTATCAGTGTTTCTTCCAGACTTTTTTCTCTGGGGGGGGGGGGGGGGGGGGAAGGGAAAGCATACTAAAATTTTCAGGGGGGGGATAGGGGAGGGGTGGCGGACACTGTTAAAAGTATTTTAATTGAATTTATAATGTAGTTTATTTTAACTACAAGTCACTTTGGTTAGCCTAATACCATTGGGAAAAAAGAGTTACCCTTTTGGCCCTGATGACCAATAGGGGAGATAAATAATTTATGAATGATCCCTTAGCAATCATGCTAGAACACACCACTCCACCTTATAACATAAATCAATTAGCTGGCTACATACATGTAGGCTTACATTTCAGCATTCTTTAGACCTTCCTGCTGAATAGAATTGTACAGTCTAATCACATCTTTTGCTCTGATTCCAGTAAAAAAAATTAAAATTTTCTTTTTTTACAATCTATTTATCAGGTTAAAGATGTGATTTGAAGAGCAGTCTTGGTGTTTATTGCTTGATTATTTAGCTTGTGTGCACCTAATATAGGAATGGTCAGCCCAATCTTACTGTGCATGGCCTTTATTTGGGTCTGGTCTCACCAAAGTGTAAGTATTATTTAAATATACAGTAAGCTTACATTAATAGTCAAATAATAATAATTATTTACAACATACTTTGATACAAACTAATCTGTACAGATATGAGGCTCATAGAATCACGCACATTACACAACACACATGGGACATATTATACTCACCCTCAACCACATATTATACTCCCCTCTCCATATTATGTGTCAGGCATTTCACCACACTCCCTCCTCACATAACCGGCTTCAACAAAATTCTGTACTACAAAAATCTTGCGATTTTTAAAATAAATTACATGTATCACTTACTAAAAGTTACTTTCCGAGAAAAGTGTTTGATACGTTTTAATTAGAAATACATTGCATTACAATAAACTACATTTCAATTAATTACATTCATACATGTGTTCATGTAAGTTGGTTCTGTCAACTTTTCATCCAGGAATTCTCATCAGCAGAAATAGAAAATAAAAATGAGAGTATAGAAAATCAAACACATTGCTCTATCTCTACACAACTACTTATGATACAATATTACTAAATTTAAACCACCAAACCACATTGTTTTTATAAAGTAACTTTATTCTGTTAACAGACCAAAACAAATGGCCATTTTGAAAACTCGTTGATAAGACAACTTCACCAAGGTTCAGAGGAAACAATTTCAAATGATTATGTAAAGAGGAGTGACTTGCCCCTTACCCGAGAAATCACTCCATACACTAAAGTACCATTAAACAGTAAAGGTGTTTTCATTATGCAAAATGCACTCTTCAACGGAAGGGAACAAAATTGTGGCTTTGGTAGTTTCTTAAACAATGCAGGAAAGTGCCAAAAATGTGGTGTTTGTTCCCAACAAGATCTACTCATCTCACATTGCTCTGCTGATCATGACACAATCTGTGAATCAAAGTCAGGTAAGAAAAATTAATCACTGTTTTGTGGGACGAGTGGCCTGGCAGTAGAGCGCTAGTCTGCTAACCCAGAAGTCTCGAATTCAAATCTGAGGTCAAATCAGTAGTACATCTCTAGTCCACCCAGCTCTGATAGGTACCTAACTCATGTTAGGGAAAGTAAAGGTGGCTGGGCATAGTGCTGACCACACCTTCCCTTTATATGCCAAGGGGTGACCCGTCAAAAGAGCGCACGACAAAAGAGCGCCGACATAAGAGCGCCGACATAAGAGCGCACTAATTTCCCGACAAAAGAGCGCCAACATAAGAGCGCAAACTAAAGATCGAAATACCATATTTAATAAATAGGAACAAGAAAATTAACTCAGATCAGAAGGTAATGTTTGATGTTAACTCTTTATTATTACATTAAAAAACTAATTGTACAGTTTCTTTAATTAAAAAACTGGTATTGACGATTGATAATATCTATTGTTCTGAACATCATCATTCTGTAAACGTCAGTCGGTCCGGAATCCCACAAGACGAAATTTTGCCCTCTTGTTGTCGTTTGAAGAGGTTCAGGAATTGTTATCTCTGAAAGGTTCTGCGGATTAGGGTATGGCAGCTGCTTGCGTTTTCTCTGTCTTTCTATTGCACGTTGTGAAGCGACGTATGCCGGCAAATGAGGTGCTACTTCCATCGAAATTCCTGCTCTAGCTTGTTGTATAATCTGCCTTGGTTTTTCCACCCCTTCCACTGCCCGTGTTCGTATAGCCGAAACAACTTACGCTGCTTCAATTTTAGCCGGATCAGGAACGTGATTGTGTTCCGATGATGACAGAACAACAGCGTTCAGCATTTTCTTCCGTGCTCGGCAGCCATCTTTCTTGCAGCATCTCCATGTCGTACTTCCATCAGCATTTGCTTTGTCCTTTCGATATCTGTAGCCTACGACCAATATAATAACCTCTCCTTTCTTTGATTCGATCTTCTCCATGTTACTTGGGTTAGAAATATTTTCAAACTGCATTCATAACATATTATACTAATATATAAATAAACACATGTCGTTTTATCGTACCGCTGATTGTTTAATTAAAAAAAGTGTTAACCATGTCATATTCGTTTAGCATACAACATGTATTTTTTTTAATTAACTGCGCTCTTATGTCGGCGCTCTTTTGTCTGCGCTCTTATGTCGGCGCTCTTTTGTCTGCGCTCTTTTGTCGTGCGCTCTTTTGACGGGGGTGCCATGCCAAGGTCAAGAAACAAACTCTATTGCCAAATGAATTGCTAGCTCTAATGGGGAATCTTTTATTTATCACTGCTTACAAATCGTTGAATAAAAACTGTTTTACATCCCTAATGCCTAAACATTGTTTTTGTTTGTAGATCACTGCTTTAAGTTACACAGAGACAAACATTATGCTAGTCTTCAGCACAAGATGTTTTGTAAAACTTTGGATCTGCTGGACGCTACAATTTATAAGGAACTATTAGATAAAGGTTTAAATGTAAGTTGCTGCAGCTTATGTTCATGGATGAAACAAAATGTTGTTAATAAAATCATTTTAGATGTTTGGGAATTCACCAAAGTTTATGAGTTATTTATATATATATATATATATATATATATATATATATATATATATATATATATTTATATATATATATATCGTGGAGTTGTTTAATGCAAAAACACATAGCTTGGTTAATTAATTGGTCAAGATAATATAATAATGAATGTATATGTATTTATAAATTAATTAAAAAAAAAAAAAAATATATATATATATATATATATATATATATATATATATATATATATATATATATATATATATATATATATATATATATATATATACACACATACACACGCATATGCATTGTTTTTAAAATGATTTCAGAATGGCTTACATAACAAGCTCGTTCGTAAGATCCGTGGAAATAGACAAACCACCACAGTACGTCCTAATGTCACAGAGGCAAGGTGATCATAAAAACTTTATTTATAAATAGATGTAGCTTATAAAATAAATCACCTAAAACACTAAATTACTGTATTACTTTCCAATATAGAGGGTATAGGAAAAATATAGAAATAGTGCACAAAAAATATTTTGACAAATTTTGAGGTTTTAACCTTTCCTGAGGTGGAAAAACTCAGTTTTGCCATTTTCTTGTGTGTATGTTCTTGTGAACATGATAACTTGAAAACTATAATCAATATTAGATCCTACGCTTAGGTTTCTATCAACTTTTGAGTGATATCCTGCCACCTGGTCAGTTGATTCATAAACCTTTAGATTTTAATAACTTTCTATCATATTCTCATAAGCAGCATATTCTAAGAACTGTATGTTTTCATAAAAAAATAAACAACAAAAAAAACTATTAGTTTTGTCCCAAACTTACCTACCATTTCAATTGCCCTGAGAGTGCCATCCCAGCAATTACTGTTGCTTTTATAAACAACTAAGAAATGGTGTTTGTTGCTGAAAATATTGGCTTTTGTATTGTGATAAAATATACATTGTTAAAATTAGTTTATTTAAGTAAAAACATTGTATTAACTTATCTTAACCTCTTTGTTAATCTTCTTTTCTCATACATTAATTTTAATATAAGACAAACCCAATGAAACCATTTTAAGTTGAGGAAATCTTAATTAAATTTCATCAGTTGAAATCACCTAATTAACATAATTACAATAGTAAACATCTGCTTTACAGATCCCGTATAAAAGTGTGAGTATCCTCTGAATGATACATTGATAAAGCCAATATTAACCCATTCTTATCTCTGTTGTCTGATATGTTTTATTGTTTCACTTACCAGCATTCTAAACCTTTTAGTTTTGTTTAAGGTCTTTACTCTCTTCTGTTGTTTTATTCCCATTCGACATCCTGCTTGTAGCTTCTAAAAAGGTCTTAATACTTGCACTGCCATGTTGCACAATTTCGGCTGAGTTTTGCGATATAATGATGTATTGTGCATCAAAACTTTCACTACAGAAATGTGTAGTAGATTTGGTCCATGACATGGTCTAAAACTGTGTAAAAATAGTGAAAATTTATGATCAGCTTTGATAAATTATGTATGTTTATTATGAAAGTATTACAGTTTTATGGAGATAGTGTTGCTAATCTACTTAGCAAGTAGATTGTAGTAAAATACTCACAAATAACAACTTTTAAAAAGGTAAACTAAGGACATTAATTTGTATATTTTAAAACTTATTTTTAAGTTTCAAAGATGTTACAGGTTTTACATATTTTTATTGTAACTAAAAGGAACTTTAAAAAAAAACAACAACTGTATCAGTGTTTATTACCCCCCAAACATGCTTTCTTTTCCTAAAATAACCATTGAATCTGTTGTGCTTTATTGTTCTAAAATTATTAACTCCATTTAACACACTTTTCTTTTTGATGTCAATACTAAGATTTTTATAGATAAGCTTAACAAAATTATCATCAATGTTTATCATTAAAATGAGCAACGGTTAAGCTTTAGTATAGGATCAGTTTTTAAAACATGGAGCAACTACTGAAGGAAAATCAGTTTGTTCTTGTCAAGCTGAGGATGGAAGTCAGTGTTTGGACAACTATTGAATGGGATGGCATGACAAAGTTGTAGAGCAGCACTGACAGATTTCATCTTGAATTCTAGTATCTATTACGAGCACCTAAGTGTAGCATTGTGCAAACTCACCATCATTCTCTACATTACAAAAACTAATTATCTGCCCCTTGTCTCAGATCTGAACCTATGTTCACCAGTTGACCCAACACTTTAAGCTGTTGTTTATGTGGCCATGAACACTTTGTTTCAATCAATCATGTCCATTCACTTATGGTACAAACTGGAAAAAGATTTACATTTTTAATTCAACAAGAACTGCAATTTATACAATTTGAAAGAAATATATGCATTGTAAAATTTTCACACAATTGTTTTACTAATGTATTAATACATTAATGACTCATTAACTCAAACCTTTCGAAACAAATGGTCAAATGTGTTTGTGGAATTTGTTTTTTTAGAATGTCACCTGCAGCAGAGGATAAAAGTAATGCTCCCGCATCGAGTAAGTTCACACCATTCTATTAAAAAAATATTTGTTATTAGCTTAGAATTCATCTGGCTTAGTTTAACTTGTTAAACTCAGATATTATTTCCATTATGCACATCTCAACAAAATGAGTATATAATAACACTTTCCTATTTTATTTCAAATAAGTGCTTCATTATTTATTTGGACTTAACCTAACCTAAGTTAGATTGTATATTGTGCTTCAACTTATACATACTGATCTTAACCAATTAGCCTGTAGATGGATGTAAAAGGGAGTTTTATTACAAATCTTATTTTCAATTAAAATCCTGCAACAAGAATCAGGGGTTGAATTATAGATTGCTATTGGCGCTAGAGATTCCCTAATTTTCTACTTAGAATTTGATTTTTATACTGCTGTATCGCTAGAGGTTCTCTTAATTTAGTCTTAATTTGACTAAACATGTTTTATTTAAAATAAACCAGCTTCAGGTATGTCAACATGGGTCTATATCACCATTGGTGTTGGTCTCATTGTGATGTTAGTTTTGATATTTGGAGCAACAATAATTTATAGAAGAAGACGACAGAGGTCGCCCAAGCACTCCAAGAAAACAAAGGGTCTTACTTCGGAGTCAAGAAATAATGGAGAAAGAGGGTAAGATTTTAAAATATTCAACTCTAAAATGCCATTTAAAAATAATTTTACTATAGGCTTTTCTCATTTATTTTAAAACTCCTGAAAAAAAATTCAATTTATTGTTTTAGGTATTTAAAATAAGATTTTAAATTATTTACCTTTATAAAAAAATGTACCTTATGAATTACTTAAGTTACTAACTTGTAAACTATGTTAAAAGCTAGACAGATTAAATATGTGTTAACTTAAAATAACCAGAGAATAATTTGTGTATTTCCTGACAGAACACATCCAGAATGTATTGAACTCAATGAAACTCGAGCCTCAAGAAAGCAGTCAGAAGGGTCATTGCAAGTGCCAGAGAATGCACCATTTTTGCTGCGGTCCTGTGTTAACAGTACATCTAATGAGGACTTGCCTAACCAGCATGAGAGGTCTTTCATTAGGAAGTTTGCACACTGTCAGGATGATGGGAACAAGCTGCGTGGTGGAAATGTGGATTTTCATAGACCGTAAACAATTATGCTTTTTTCACTTCAGAACTGTGGATATTATATATAGCAGTAACCATTAGTCTTAAATATTTCAATAGTTAATAATAACAATTTAATAATGCAAGGAAATTTAACTCTTTACAACCTGAGGCTACAAGTACCTAATAACTCCTCTATTGTAACCAATCTGATACAAATTGTACTTGAAGGTTTTTAACTGAAATAACTTTTCAATTGCAGTAGGCCTATCAGGCTTTAAAAAAAATAAATAACAGTTGTGTTTATTGCTAAAAATTGTGAAATAGTCTTTTATATCTGTATTTTAATGGACTGTAATGGGTTAAAAATTTGCTGTAATTAATACTACATCACTCAACTTGTTTTATAGAGCTTTAATTTTCTTGTGGATATAATTGCTTTAAAATAGAGAAAAAGTCTACTGTAAAATTGGTAACATAGTAAAATATGTAAGTACTTAACATATTTAAGGTACTCAGAAGTGGCCCATACTGAACGTAGATATGAACCTAGGACAAGAAATTATCATGTTCAAGAACCTGTAAGATCAGTGCCACTAAAGGCCTGCCCTAATGTGGAACGTTGTGAATCCTACTCACCCACATACCCAACAGATTTTCAAACACCAAAGAGGGAACGCAACAAAGTACGGAACAGTGATGAAAGCAATGGCAGCAGTGCCCCATCCCATCATTCAACTCGCAGTTACATCAGGTTGGTAAAAGGCTTGCATTTTTTCTTAAACGATGTCAACATAAATTGCCTTGGACATTGCAAATAGTGTTTCTCATTTCATACACGGTAAAGTAAATTGAAAAAAATTTCATTGAATTAAAAATTCAATCTTTTTTGAGTATTCTTTAATAACGAGTAATTTTTTGCTTTTGGCCATCGATTTTATCATAATTAATCAAGGTTAAATGACTGATTGAATATTAATAAAAGAGTAACATGCATGTTTGCTAAAGCAACTGAATATGTAAATAATTGCAGTGCTATCATTCCACAGCATCCCACCAACAATGCCCTCAGAGAACTACATCGAAGCAGGGCAAGACGCCATGTCGGTTCATTCTGAGCTAAGCACTCCACCCCGTGCCATGAAATGGTTGACTAAAGAATCTAAAGTGAACTCTAAAAATGAGCTGAGTAGTTATCTTTCCTCGTCTGGCACTCAGACAGAAAGTAATGTAGATGGCCCCAAGTGTAAAACAGGTACATTGAACACTTTCATTTAAGAAATATCTTGGATAAAGTTAATATAAATGTTTAACAAAAATTTTACTCAATCCACTTCCATGGAGTTTATAAATTCAGATTTTGATAATGCATTTTGAGGGTTATAGTAATGAAATCGTATACTTGGTTTGTTACCGGACTAAAATGCTTTGGTGCCATATTAAAAAATTTGTTTATTTAGTCTTGTCAGTCTGCAATTAATATAAATAAAAATGATTATTTCTTCTGCATTATTTAAAACAAATATTCAACATCACATTAAAGCATTACAGTTATTTACAGACACTTCTTAAATTTAAAAAAGTAATACATTTATTTTTATCAATGTTTTAGTTTTTAACACACCCTGGCAGTTTGGAGGGACATTTACTAACAGAGGTGGCAAGATGCAGTCTAGTGGCTCAGATGTGTGCCTTAGGGTCATGTCCAGTGCAATTCCAAAGGGCGAGTACATTGACATCTATGGGGCAGTTTTTACAGACACCACAGAAATCAGGAAAAAGGTAGCAGAAGCCAGTCATTCTCAGTCATTTAATAAAGTGAAAAAATAAAAAAATTAGAATTTTGAAAAAGTTTAACTTGGCTGCAACACTCATCAACACTCAAATAAGTAATCCATAAATTGTGCTTTCATTCCTTTTAAATGAGCTTACTTTCGGTCTGTACTGTGTTACTTGTTCTTGATCGCTTACTGTAGTCAAACAATTTCATCCATTATTTTTTCTGTATTACATGATCTCATAAGTCTTTCAACCAGATATTAAATATTGATGTGTATTTTGTCTGTAAGTTTTCCAAAACTAAAACTTAGGTCTATACAAATTAACTAAATGAATGTGAATTTTCCAGTTTAATTTCCCTGCTGAGGAGAGCTTGATCACCCCACTAGTGGAGTACCATGTGGAGCCATCCATGGTCTTTCTCAGGTTCTTGTCTGTACAGCTGCCGCATGCCCTGCCAGAGGAGTTTGATGTCAACTTCATTAAAGTACGCCTTCTAATTAGTTCATAATTAGTTTTATTTTTGTCATTTTCAAATAAGTTCATATTTAGTAATCTTTTAATTTTCAACATTTTGAAAATATCAATCCATCACAAATATTTCATATTTTAATATATGGTCCAAACTAAAACAATATATTTATCTCCTAGGTTTATACATTTACAACTGATGAATATGGTAGAATTTCACTTCATTGTCTCCCACTCAAATCTAAACTAAATGACCCAATGGTTGTTGATAGCTATTGGGAGAAAAACCAGGATGGACATTTTATTGACATCCATACCAAACACTTTAGGTGAGGAAACAATTTGATTTTACTTACCCTTAAGTCAGTTTAGTTTTTAAGTGCAAGTTATATATCCTGGCCCACAACTCTCTAAGTAGCTTAGGTTTAAAGTAGTATAAGTCAAGGATTTTTAAATTGTCATAGATGTGGAATTATTTACTGGAACTGGAATAGAGAAATATCATTTTTATTAAAAATCTAAAAACAGTTAAATTATTAATTTCTACAATAGAGCCTAACTGGAGAGCAAGCTAATGTTGTCAAAACTATTGCGATTTTAGATTTTAAAATTACATTTTAGATTTTGTGTTCTGCGCTGTTGAAAATTAATTCAACAACAAAGTTATTAATGTAAATAAATGCTACAACTTTAATGTCATTTTGTTCAGTGGCTACTTCTGCACTATGTGTGAGACGTCCAGTCTGCCGTCCATCTGTACCATGGTCTTTGGGTCTCATGTACAAATCACACCCACACGCAGGGAAGTACGGGTCAATCTGTACATCTGGGACAGGCGGCTCACTATCAAAGATTATTTGGAGGTGAGCTCATAGTGTTAAAACTGACTCATCAATATTTTTGAAGTTACCAAGTGCAAGATCTGTGAGGATTATTTTAAAAACTTGTAGTTTTGTTTTCAGTATTGGTTCTCTAGATAATCTTAATGTAAATCATTTGAAAAACTAAACTCATGAGTAATTTAGCTAACAAAATAAATTTTTTACAAATTTATTTACTTGCTGAAATACATTTTAACTAAATGTTGAAAATTTTGAAAACAATGTTGACCATGTTGATGTTAGATGATTTTGACCATGTTGCACACAGAGATTCCGTAAACAAGAGTCAGATGTTGACAGACAGCTGCTGACAGACATGCAGGTGCCGTTGCTTGACCACGCTTCCTCCGACAGTCGGCTAGTCATGAAGATGGATGTCATGGGTGAGGTCAAAGATCGTCACAACTGGAGGCACATTTCTAGACCAGATGGCTCCAGGCCACTGTTCAAACCACTACAGGTTACTTAATTCTACTCATATTAACCCTCACATGACTAGTGGAGTTTTAGACCAGTTAACCCTTTCATGCTTAGTGTTGTTTAAGTTAAACATGCATATGTCTACATTAGTTATAGTATAAATTATATAGTTATATTGACTATAGGGCTGGTAAGTAGGTCAATAAACAGTTCTACGGCTAAATAAAACCTGCATAAGCCATAGAACTGTTTATTGAACTTCTTACCAGCCCTATAGGTGTTAAAACAGCATTATTTTTAAGAATGATTAAATGTTAAAAAGTTATTTAAAATTTGTTTTTTTAATATTGTAATTTAAAAAACTTATAGGTTCGGAAGCTGAGTGAAATTGTACACTGCTGTCGCCAGACTGATCCTATTCGCATAGAATGGGCCTTAGAGAATATGCCCAGCCATGTTCCAAGTTCCATCTTTCAGTGTTGCATCGACATCATGCATGTCCACGAATCAACGCGAGATTACGAGCGAGCCATGAATGAAGACAACGATGAATTAATGCGGACGTTCTATGTCAGAGATCTGAAAGTCATCAATAATCCCAATCAGGTTTTTACACATTTTTTAAAAAGCTTACTTTGCAGGGGTAGTAATGTTTTAAATTTCAAACTATCTGATTATACTGAGTAATTAGCTTAATTAGATAATTTACATTTTTATCTTATTGGATCATAAGGTGCCTGCAGAAAAAGAACCTACTGAGTTTAATCGTGTGGATATCAAACGAACACTCTCTGAGGTGATGGACTCACAGCAGATTGAGATGCTATGTCAGAAATATGGTGTCTCTCCTAAAGATATTGGAAATCTAAGAAAAAAGTAAGTGTAATAGTAATACTCTAACAATTAATGGGTTATCCCCCTTATATTAAACACTTGTATCCCCTTTTTACTTAAACTTAAAAAACCCACAGAGATTTAAAAAATTAAATCCATACTTTCATATGAACCTTACACAATTTTCTTTCACAGGTTTACTCGAGAAGAAAATTTTATCTTCCATTTGGTTGATGAATGTTGCAATCGTTATGGTAAGACAAAGTTTGTCAAAGACTTGCCCCTTCATCTGCTAAACCTTGGGCTGGGGGATGTCATTAACAAGTTGGAAGATAGAAAAATATTTGTCGACACTTCAACAGAAACCAGCCCAACTTTACCACCTTGTGCACACTCAGAGGACACATACTGCAAGGAGGAACACCACATGAATGTTTCCCCACCAAGCAGAATGCCAAGGAAAAGTCAGCATGGATCCCATGCTCCAGCAGCTCAGAGGGTTTCTACAAAAAGTGATGATGTGTTTTGTGAGGAACCTGCTTTAGCGATGCAACCAGTCAACTACAAGAAGACATCCAGCAGTGGTTCTGATTCCGTGTTAAGGGGAACATCAATTAAATCCAGAGACCATAGTTTTGTTTCTTCATCCTCTAACTTCAGCACAAGCATGATGCCACAGTTAGATTCCAGTGAATTTAAAGAACCATACCCTGATGAATTTTTAGACGACTGTCACCACCAAACTTACAGGAAAGAGGCAGCAGTAGGCCGTAGTGTTCGTCCCATGTGTTCTTTTGAACCTGCTGTGGGATACACTGAACTGGATGAGCTTCATTTATCCAGCAGTGGGCCCAGGGCTCTCCCTCATCAGGGAAGCTTGGAAACCACAGAGAAAAAATCGTTTAATGGTGAGAAAAACTCTTCTTGTGAAAATTACAAAGAAAATCAAAAGTTACACAAGTCTCAACAAAAAAGCTCTGAAGAAACTATAAAAAAAGAATGTCACACTGTTGTTTAGACAAAATTTAACAAAGGACCTGGTAAACTAAACTGAGAAAATTGTTGGATTTCATGATTGTTTCATACTTAAGCTACATTCCAATATGACAAAGTTGTCATTTGTTTGTGACAAGTTTATTTTTTGACATATTAATATTACGTTTTACTATAAACCTAATATTTGATGTCTCAAATGTATATTCTTTTACAAACAGAATTTGTATTTTGTATATTTACATTCTTTCAATTGTAATTTAATAGACAGTTTTGATATATATTTATTTCTGTGTAAAAAAAACAACAGGAAGACAAAATAGATCTTAATGTGTAAAAAGATAAAACAATAATGCAAGGACACTGGTAAACAAATTCAAGATTAAAATGGAATTTAGTAATGAAATACACATGTCAGGAATTTAAGCAACTAATTTATCAAAAGCTGATTATTGATAAGTTGGCAAGAGTACGGCCCCTTGAAGGAAATTGCTAAAATCAATATTACCTATGATAATGCAGCCTAAAGTATCTTATTTAGAAGATACCCTAATACAAAAGTTTTTTTTAATAAATTGGACCTAGTCCTGAATAGCTTAAATAATTGTTACAAGCGACTGCGATGAACTGTTTGAACAAATAACACTGCAATATGACATTTAACAAAAAATTTCAGCACTTTGTAAGTCAAATGGAATTAGTTTTACAAGATGGAAGCTTTTTAAAAATCTTTTTATTAGAACTTACTTTACCCAACACTTTGGGCTGATTTTATTTCTTATGACCAGCAAATCACATTTATAAATTTATATGCATTTAATTGTCACATTCCACTTTAAAAAATGTTTTACAGTATGTGCCTAATTTCTTTCAACAAGTTATCTTGAAAAACATTTACAATGCAGCTTATAACTAACTTTGTTGCCTGAAGTAAATATCTGTGTCATGTTTTGTTTCACAGTTCTATGCATTTACTTTTTATCATGTTTGCCCATGATTTGGAGATGTTTTTGTTTTATCCACACTTGTGTTGAGAAAATGTGATTTTTTAAAATGCACTTTTTTGCTAAAATATAAGATATATAAGATATGAGAAGCGTGTATTTTTATAAAATAAAATTATAAAATGTTTAAAATTTATAGCCTACAAATCTAGCCTATTTTGTTTAGTTAAAATGCTGATTATCTCTTTAAAAAATAAAATAAATAATTATAAATAACTATATAACTATACAAATAATATACATGTTCATTTACAATTTTAAGTGTTTGGATTTAGGGTGATAAGTATTAATTTTAATATTTCATCTTAGTTAAAACTTTCATTTTGAAATAAAAAGAATAGACAATATTTTTTAAGTTAGCAGTATTTTAAAAAATATTCTAATTCAACCTACCAAATCTTTTTGTGTGTGTATCAATGCCCTGTAGAATGAAGGCTACAAGCAAACAAGGTATTTCATTCTGCTATAAGATCTGGTACACTTTTGTGTTGGTAAAACACCATATATGCAAATGTCCCAGACAAATAAATCTTGGAGATGATTGTAACTGGTCACATGACAAGACTTACATTGGCTGTGTCTCTCAGGGCAGCAGACAATGATTAGCACCTCTTGTAATAGCTGAGGTTTTGTGTGGGGGAAGAAATAAAACCCGGGGCTATTTATTCTTGACAGATTAATTTCAAGTAAATAACTTTTCTCTATTGGTCTCATTTTACTACTAGACTCTCTGCTGACTTGTGGCTTGGCCTAGATTGTTTTGTACTGTGATTTGTTGCGATGAAGAGAGGATATATAAACAAATGCTCAAGACGGAATTAAAAATTAATTTTGTACAATAAATAAATAATTTATTTTAACATACAATATTTTAATTAAATGTATCTTTATTTTTAAAGAGATTTTTTTTATCATGCTCAGCACATTTGTATGTAAATTTTTTCAATAATTCAGTGGATTTTTTGATGAAGTTATATTAGCCTAGAATACTTAGATTTACCCTACATAGATTTTTGTTCCATGAAAAAGTTTATAAAGACTGTTAAACCTTGATTTTGAGTTTGTATTTAATGTAAATTATATGAAATTCCAAATCTCTTGTATTGTATATTAATTTATGTATATCATTGATCTTTAAAATACATCCGATAGACCTTTTGAACATCATTGATAGACCTTTAGGTTTTCACTGATGAACTATTGGGTTCTGTATATATCCATTTAAAAAAAATCCAGATTTTAAATGGATGTTACTACAGATTGTTTACCAATTGTTTTCTTTGTTATGTTTATAGAAATATCAGCTCCCTTTTAAAACTTATTCAGTTCTAAATGAAATGTGTTACACATGGTGTTGTTCTGTGTGATGTCCACACCATCACAATATACCAGGATGTTCAACTTGCTGTTGTCTTGTTACACTTTATTTTCATGTGATAGCAAAAACAATATTATGCAGTTTTAAATATGGATCTTAGTTTAATCCATTTCTGGACTAGCATAATTACATTACAATAATAATTTTTAATACATTAAAATAAACAACTGTATTTTTATTTTTTAGAAATTTGAGTTATTTGTTGTAAGTTTTGTGTTTTCCTGAAGTTACTGAAAAATTTCGTAAGTTGCATTGTGTTCTGCCACACTTTGATCTTGCCAAATATTTTCTGCCGCTTTCATACACACCCTGCCCCTACCAAACAATTATTTCCCCTATCTTGTACTTTCTGCTTCTGCCACATTATGGTACTGAGTTTTACTCCCCCTGTCAAATAATTACTGCATTGATGTGAATTTTTTTCTATTATTATCTCTGCCTACTCCAACACATAACAAACACAGAGAGGACACACCTAAAATTATAGATCAACACACAGACAACAACTTCATTGATCAACAAACAACGAGGTTGATTACACTTCACATATGTAATTTTTGTGTTGTTGTTCACCATTGTACAGACATATTGCATCGGTGTTAAATGAGGTGTGAGAGAAATCAATTCATTCAAGAGTGGACAAACAATGGAAATGATTACAACCAGGGATGGGCCAGATTTTTCTGGTACTACAATCAATCAACATTAATTTTACAGATAGGAATTTATCAACTAATATATATCTGTGTTTAACATTTCATTGAAAAAAGTATTAATACAGTTAATGATACCTTTATAAGCTTATAATTCTAAAAAAAATGTAAATTCTCTTTGTGGGGATCAAAGTATTTAAAAATTATTTTTAAAATGTTGGCATTTATTTAATACTTTGAAAAAAATATTGTCAAGCATACTTCTCCTAGTAAAAAAATGGATAACACATTATTATTAAGTGTTGCATTATTATTTCTAAAACAGCAAGTCATTGATGTAAAAAAAAAATTATCTTTTACACAAACAATAATAAAATACAACAGTGGGCAGGCAATTTTCTAACCTAAAAGTAGCTGTATTTCCTTTTACAACCAGGTAGCCTACTTATTTTTTGTAACTTAAAATCACCAATATATATTTCAAGGATGTTACATGTATATACCTCTTTTTTGTCTATTTTAATAATGTAGGTCTACTATTCAATGAAAAATGATCATACGATAAGAGAGACTATTAAAAATAAAATAAAAATTTTGCGAGCAGATCTCTAGAAAGTTGAATTAATTTTAACAAAATAATATAAACATAAACAGATAACTTTCTGTTTACTCTTTCAAGCATGCATGAATAGCAAGTTATTTTCTAAACAAGTATCCTGAATGTTTGAGATATTTTTAGTTTGAAAACAAAAATATTTTACTTAGTTCAGGCTTCTTATCCGAGGGGGGGGGGGGGGGGGGAAGGAGAGAGAAGAGAAGGCGAAGCACATCTACCACCCTAGTCCCATCAGCAAAAATGTCTGAAAGAAACCCTGATCTTTACGAGCTGGACGTAGATCTAGCATTGGCTTAACTTAAACGTCATGTCACATATCGACTAATAAGATCATCTATAGATCTAGATGTTAAACTCCGCAGATGGGGGCTCTGACTTCTATGCTGTGGGAAGAGGTGGAGGGGTGGGCTTTAGAAAAAAGTGACCTCCCACGTTAGCATTGTTATTCATGAAATTAAAATGTATCAATGGTCTCGCATTTTTTTTATTGTATTGTATTCGGCCTAAACATATCCAGCTATGTTAGTATTTTAGAAATAAATCACTCTTCCAAAATATGTCGCAAGTGTAAACACCATGTGGCTGAAGAAAGTGAAAAAAAGTGAAAGGGAGGTAGAATCTAAATGTACTAAATTTGTGATAAAAAAGTAAGATGTCATTATTGTCAATCACGGAGGACACCCCCCCCCCCCCAGTATGCTTTTCACTTTTGGACACAGAGGCGTAGCGACCCTTCCCGGCGCCCGGGGACAAACTTTTCGATTTGCACCCCCCCTCCCCTCGAGATTTTGATTTGCACCCCCCACCTCAAACTTTCGATTTGCACCCCCTCAACCTTTCAATTTATTTTTCCAACCCATTTTGGCGCCCCCTAAGGTCGGCGCCCGGGGACATATGTCCCCCCCCCCCCCCCCTCGCTACGCTACTGTTTGGACATCTTGTTTATAATAAGCCAGCCAGTTTCGTGTGTCGAATTTTGTAAACGTATTAACTAGTAAGTCCATGTTGTGTTTCAACATAGATTACAAGATCTAACTAGCATTAAAATTGCCAGCTATTTGAAAACATCTGTACCCAAAACTTCAACCCACAATTCCTCTTTACTCTTTATGTGAAGCATAGTGTGTAGCAGTCTAAAACTATCAAGTGGCTTAGATCTAAATGTTACTTCCGGTTTTACATGGAAGCAGTTAAAAAATTGTGCGTTTCGTCAGTGTCCACAACAAGCTAACAGTGGCTAACACTAACCTAGCACGATAGCATGACGTAGTTTAAATGGTTTAGAGTTAATATAATTGAATGGTTTAAAGTTAGAATTAACACAGTGGCGGAATCCTGCCGTCGCTGAGTAAAAAAAAAATTAGTACATAAAATAATGATAGCATACATTAGAATTAGATTGATACATAATATTGGATTAGAAAGATTAGTATATTTGTAAGGGAAGTCTTACCAGCTGATGAAAGCTTAGCAAGTTGTAGGCAGGGCCGTACTACGGCCGAGGGAAACAAGGCAGCTTCTAGGAGGCCCTATTCTGAAAGCGGCCCAGTCGCGACTGTTAAAATTTGTAGTAAAATGTAATAAAAAGGGCCGCGATAAAATTAACTGCCTTCGAGCCTGTTTGGCTCTTTGTTGTATATAGACCCTATAAGTAAGCCGTGAAGTCAACATGCAAATATTTCTCTAAGAATATATCTTGTTTATGTGTACAGCCTATGTCTAAGTTTACTATTAAATTATTTCTAAGAAATAGGGCTACCTATAGCAAGATAATATGTTCATAATTATAGGCAATTTAAAAATAATTCATTCATATCTAAAGTCATGAAAATATGTAAAAAAAATTGAATAAAATTAAACAACACAATTAAAATATTAACAACATGTTCAAGAAGTTAAGAATAATACTTTATACAATATTATTAATACAAATTATCACAAAATATTTTTTTTTTACCTTTGATAGCATGGGCAAGATTTTAAAAAATCAATCAAACTTTATTAACACCAGTTTTAGCCATCCATGTTTTTGTTTTTTAGATAAAATGTACATTATTTCTCACACTTCATTCACACATCTTCACGTTTTTCTCATTTTATTATTTTTCTAATTAGGGGTCATCCATAAATGACGTCACGCTTTTTTTGACGATTTTTACCTCCCCCCCTCCCCTCCGTCACACGTCGTCACAAAAAGCCAGACCCCCCCCCCTAAAATGACGTCACACCTCAACCTACAACCCCCCTCAAAATTGCAGTTGAATTTTTTTAAAACATCGATGTTTTTCCAAATCTTGTCTAAACTATTACAATTTATTAAAACAGTTATCCAAAACGCGAAATAACGTCTAAAATTCGTTTTCTAACATTGCTTTTTTATAATGCAAAAATGTGACGTCGCAACATCTGACCCCCCCCCCCCTCCCCCTCATCACACATCGTCACAAAATTACGGACCTCCCCCCTACGAGTGTGACGTCATTTATGGATGACCCCTTACAAAAAAATATAAATATTTGTGATTGTTTTCTACCAGAAGATATCTGAACACTAAGCATACTTGCCCAAAACGAACCGGCCAATTAAAAATGTATTTCTCATTAAAACAAGGTCAAATATCTAATTTGAGAGGATCAAATGTAACCAGGTGGTCATTGATCGAGGGTTTGTTTCTAAACAAAGTTTTAATGGATTTGTTTTAACATTGGTTGTGCCCAATGGGAAGGGGAATAATGGATTGAAGGACAGCTGAAAGTACAGTCAGTCAATGGTGGTATCATCTGTTATCTTGACTAGAACACGTCTATTGACTAGGGAGTCATCGGTATACTCAACGTGCATATATATTGCTAGTTCACCCACCTATCCACGTTTTACAAGTTAGTTCACCATCTCCGTCTTATAAGCTAGTTCACCACATACATCTTATAAGTTAGTTCACCAACTACATCTTATAAATTAGTTCACCACCTACGTCTTATAAGTTAGTTCACCACCTACGTCTTATAGGTTAGTTCACCACCTACGTCTTATAAATTAGTTCACCACCTACGTCTTTTAAGTTAGTTCATAACCTACGTCTTATAAGTTAGTTCACCAACTTAGTCTCATAAATTAGTTCACCAACTTAGTCTCATAAATTAGTTCACCACCTACGTCTTATAAGTTCACCACCTACGTCTTATAAGTTCACCTCCTACGTCTTATAAGTTAGTTCACCCACTCACAAGTCCCAAATGGCCTTCCACAAGATGGATGACGTCATTTATATACGACCCATTAAGTTAAAAGAAAAGCTCAGAAAAGCTCAGCTATGTTGGATCCCCTAGGTTAATTTTAATATATTCGTTCTTTTCGTATCTTTGGTCTGGTCCCCCCCCCCTACATCTGATGGTTTACACTGGTTCCCCCACATTTGATGGTTTACACTGGTTTCCCCACATTTAATGGTTTACACTGGTTCCCCCACATTTGATGGTTTACACTGGTTCCCCCACACATTTGATGGTTTACACTGGTTCCCCCACATCTGATGGTTTACACTGGTTCCCCCCACATTTGATGGTTTACACTGGTTCCCCCACATCTGATGGTTTACACTGGTTCCCCCCACATCTGATGGTTTGCACTGGTTCCCCCACATCTGATGGTTTACACTGGTTCCCCCACATCTGATGGTTTACACTGGTTCCCCCACATCTGATGGTTTACACTGGTTCCCCCACATCTGATAGTTTACACTGGTTCCCCCACATTTGAAGGTTTACACTGGTTCCCCCATACGTGCTTGTTTACGCTGGTTCCCCTACATCTGATGGCTTAGACTGCCCCCCCACACACATGTAGCTTTACGCTGGTTCCCCCACACATGGTGGTTTACACTGGTTCCCACACACGCTGGTTTACACTGGTTCCCCCACATCTGATGGTTTACACTGGTTCCCCCACATCTGATGGTTTACACTGGTTCCCCCACATCTGATGGTTTACACTGGTTCCCCCACATCTGATGGTTTACACTGGTTCCCCCACATCTGATGGTTTACACTGGTTCCCACACACACGCTGGTTTACACCTAATCCCTCACATCTGATGGTTTACACTGGTTCCCCCACATCTGATGGTTTACACTGGTTCCCACACACACGCTGGTTTACACCTAATCCCTCACATTTGATGGTTTACACTGGTTCCCCCACATCTGATAGTTTACACTGGTTCCCACACACACGCTGGTTTACACCTAATCCCTCACATTTGATGGTTTACACTGGTTCCCCCACATCTGATAGTTTACACTGGTTCCCCCACACACGCTGGTTTACACCTAATCCCCCACATTTGATGGTTTACACTGGTTCCCCCACATCTGATAGTTTACACTGGTTCCCCCACATCTGATGGTTTACACTGGTTCCCCCACATCTGATGGTTTACACTGGTTCCCCCACATCTGATGGTTTACACTGGTTCCCCCACATCTGATGGTTTACACTGGTTCCCCCACATCTGATGGTTTACACTGGTTCCCACACACACGCTGGTTTACACCTAATCCCTCACATCTGATGGTTTACACTGGTTACCCCACACACGCTGGTTTACACTGGTTCCTCCACACATCCAGCTTTACACCCAATCCCCCACATTTGATGGTTTACACTGGTTCCCCCACATCTGATAGTTTACACTGGTTCCCCCACACGTGCTGGTTTACACTGGTTACCCCACACACGCTGGTTTACACTGGTTCCTCCACACATCCAGCTTTACACCCAATCCCTCACATCTGATGATTTACACTATATCCGTAACGTCTGACCCCACCAAACTTTATATCTCAGTGTTGAAACAAACCCTAGTCCTAACCTTTTAATCTAACCATCATCTAATGCTAAGTCTAACCCATTATTCCGGGCAGCTGTAGCACCTCTCACACCTTCACAGAAATTTGCTCGACTATCGTTAACAAACGCACCGCGGACATGCGTGCACAGATTTCTTTACAGCTTTCTCAAAACATCCCTAGATCTAGTCGTGTTTCAGTTGAAACAAAATCAAACCTAACTCAACAACAAGTACCACTGTTTGAGACAAACCTTCACTACTTAGTGTTGTGTGTTTTAGGCTAGCTCTAGCAAAGGCAAAAGTCAAAAGAAAGAAATAACAATCACGCAGTATCACAATTTATCTCCGTTAAAATCTATTTATCACATCAGAGTCCCGCTTTTAGCAAACATAGCCAATGACATCATTGGCTACTTTATTGCTTTTTGGAAAAAAAAAATAAGCGAGTGGCGGTGGTAGGTCGGTTGGTGGGTGGGGAACGGGTGGTGTCAGGCTAAGAATGGTAAAGTTGAGACAAGTAGTCGTGTCGCAATATTAAATATCATCAGACTAAAAAATAGAAATGGCCTGCATCATGTTCGATTTTTTAAATCTAAGATTTAATCTTAACATGTATATTGATTTATTGACGACAAAAGTTGAACTCTGTCCAAAATTTGTAAATAACATTTCAAGGGATCACGTGATTCTCCCAAGCGCCGCCCACCAACCTTCACCTTCATAAACCACGACACTTCTAGCAACTTTTTAATTAGACTATCTTAATTACATCATTTTAGAGAAAAACGCTTTTTACATAAAAAAAATAATTGAAAAATAAACCACATTTTATGTTTAAAGAAAAAATGTAACCATTCTAAATAGCTGACATTTTCAAGCAAATTAAATATAAACATCTGTTAAGCATTGCTTGATATCGCCCCTACCCCTTGTAATGCAATATAACAATACAATAAGTTACCACTACTTCGATATAATAAAACAATACCCCCACCATAGACTCTTCGGGTTATATCTGTGCTCAATCACTACTTACAAAATGCAAACCACTTTCTAATAAGCAAAAAAACAATTTATTTTAAGATCTTATCTTTAAAAACCACACTGCATGGTAAAAACAATCCCAAACTTTATTTTCAACATTTCTTTTACTTCTAATGTTTTTGTTTACCTCGCAAAGAACCAGTAAATAAATTTATATAAAAGCTTTCTATGTATATTTAGTTAAAACAACTATGGCATAACTACTCAATGTTGTTAGTTAAAATGTCTATAACGCAAGGGAAAAGAATGCTTGAAACTGACTGTGCTCTCAATATGTCATAAACTCAATATAAACTTGGAGCTTTTTGTAATAAATAACATACGCATCTGAATTCTTCATTTACCCAAGGCATATTAAATAGCGAATTAAAAATAAAAATATTTCTTCTTACTTTCTCGATGAAACAGACAAGGGAGATAATTTAGAAACACATGGAGCTCCTGATGCAGATCAAATTAACATCTTTCATTTCAGTTTTAGAAGCGCATACATTCGAAAACAAATTTGAATGGCTGAATGGTGTCACGTGGTTTCGACATGATAAGCTCCATTTTGTTGTCATTTCGTCGTTGTTGTGTTTATCCTGTCAGGTAATTGCAGAGAAAAGTCTGCAAATTCACAGGTTCAGGGTTGATCGCTCAACGTATGAGTTCGTACTTGGAAGTTTTTTGTTTGTTTTCGTGGATTGGAAGGTACGCACCTCGCAACAAGGCAAGCTAGTGTTAGAGATGGCGTTGTTTAAAACAAACAAGTATCATAGATGGCGCTTTTTATCAAATAAAATCAAAACACCCGAGAAGCATGCGCACTTTTCATGGCCAGTAACAATTTTTAGCTTTTCTGAATATCCGGTCGTTTGGTAGACAACATTGCAGACGATACACAGCGTTGAACGCGGCTGTGCAGTTTAGCGTAGATTCCACCAGTTTAATCTCACATCCGTTTAAAAAAATCAGAGCCACAGGCTTACATTACTCGGCAATGATATCGATTTGCATATTTGTGTAATCCATGCATGTAAACAATGCGATGTAACGACACGCCCATCCTACGTCATCAATCCATATCCCTCATTTGGGCGTAATAACCAGGCAGGATGAGCGCCAGACTTATCCCGATGGTGAAGACCACGAAGATGAGCAACAGCAGACGATCAATGATAAGAGCCAGTTGCTGCCATTCCACCTTGATTGCATCTTTTCTGTCCTGGTCTTCGAGGCGCATCTCATTTTTCTCGATCGTCTGGTAGACCTGGGGACAGAAGAAAGCAGATGTTTAAGGGAACTTATCAACAATATGGACCTCATCACTACACTCAACAAAAAGACATCATCATTACACTCAACAAAAGGGACCTCATCAATACAGTCAACAAACTGGACATTACTACACTCAACAAAATGGAGAATATCACTCCACTAAACAAAAGGGACATCACTACACTCAACAAACTGGACATCACTACAGTCAACAAAAGGGACCTCATCACTCCACTAAACAAAAGGGACATCACTACACTGAAAAAAAGAGACATGACTAAACCCAACGAAAGGGACATCACTACACTCAAAAAAGGGACATCACTACACCCAACAAAAGGGACCTCATCACTACACTCAAAAAAGGGACATCACTACACCCAACAAAAGGGACCTCATCACTACACTCAACAAAAGGGACCTCATCACTACACTCAACAAAAGGGACCTCATCACTACACTCAACAAAAGGGACCTCATCACTACACTCAAAAAAGGGACATCACTACACCCAACAAAAGGGACCTCATCACTACACTCAACAAAAGGGACCTCATCACTACACTCAACAAAAGGGACCTCATCACTACACTCAAAAAAGGGACATCACTACACCCAACAAAAGGGACCTCATCACTACACTCAACAAAAGGGACCTCATCACTACACTCAACAAAAGGGACCTCATCACTACACTCAAAAAAGGGACATCACTACACCCAACAAAAGGGACCTCATCACTACACTCAAAAAAGGGACATCACTACACCCAACAAAAGGGACCTCATCACTACACTCAACAAAAGGGACCTCATCACTACACTCAACAAAAGGGACCTCATCACTACACTCAACAAAAGGGACATCACTACACCCAACAAACGGGACCTCATCACTACACTCAACAAAAATACAGCATCACTACACTCAACAAAAATACATCATCACTACACTCAACAAAACATGATTACACTCAACAAAAGGGACCTCATCACTACACTCAACAAAAGGGACCTCATCACTACACTCAACAAAACATGATTACACTCAACAAAAGTTACCTCATCATTACAATCAACAAAAGATACCTTATCAGTACACAACAAAAGGAACATCATCACTATACCCAACAAAAAGACATCGTCACATTACTCAACACTTAGCGAACAAAAAAAAAACATCACTTTACCTACATAACAAAAGTGAAACAAATCATTTCAGACAGACAACAAAATGTGTACAAGTAAAGCAGAGGCGTAGCGAGAGGGGGGGGGGCGGGGGGGGGGACATATGTCCCCGGGCGCCGACCTTAGGGGGGCGCAAAATTGAAAGTTTGAGGGGGGGGGGTGCAAATGAAAAGTTCGAGGGGGGGGGCGCAAATCGAAAGTTTGTCCCCGGGCGCCGGGAGGGGTCGCTACGCCTCTGGAGTAAAGCTCTTCTCCAGGCAGGAGCAGTATGGTTAATCTGAATCTTAAAAATTGGAATGTGTAGGAATTACTAGACCCAATCACTTGTAATTTCTCCGCCTCTGGTCAGGTACCGTTCAAAGCGAGTAAACTCAGTCGGAACATCCAATAAACTCTTTCACGAGAGCAGATATTATCGAACCACGAGAACACAATCTTCAGAGGTTAGTACACAGTGAGCTGCTACAACCGCTCGAGACTCTACAGTACAGTGTTGTTATATAAATAGATTTATTTCTTCTAATTTCTGCACTTTTGGTTTAAGTTGGGTGAATCACAATGTGAAGCTACTGAGGAAGTCTAGAGAAGCAGTAGCAGATGTCGCTGGTGGAGAGACAACTGTGACACATTACAAGTAATAATAAGAATATAAACGACACATAAGGTACTGTTTTTTTTTCAGTTAAAGCATAATGGCGTTAGGATCATTTATTTACCTTTTGTAAAAAGTTAAAACAAAATGGCCTTAGGATCAAATACTTACCTTTTGTAAAAAGTTAAAACAAAATGGCGTTAGGATCATATATTTACCTTTTGTAAAAAGTTAAAACAAAATGGCCTTAGGATCAAATACTTACCTTTTGTAAAAAGTTAAAACAAAATGGCGTTAGGATCAAATATTTACCTTTTGTAAAAAAGTTAAAACAAAACGGCATTAGGATCAAATATTTACCTTTTGTAAAAATTTAAAACAAAAATTACCTTTTGTAAAACCCGTAAAAATTGTCTTTCTGTGTTGTCTCCACTTGGCGTGGACGGAGAGGGCGTAAACTTCCGGGCAAACCTCGGAGAAATGCCGCCATTTTCTGGCCGTCTGTCCATGTCGTACCGAGAGTAGTAGTCGTTGGTCGGGACGGGTTGCTGCAACAGGGAGGATTAGCCGTAAATATACCCGGATTAGTCGCGTGGTCGGCAGGGATTGGAGATTTAAATATACTTGGTCGGGGATTTATGCCGTACGGTCTACCGTGGGGGGGGGGGGGGGGGAATACCGGTGAGGTGTAGGTTGTGTTGGATGGGTGAGTTTGTTGGCTAACTGGGTATCGTTGGCGGGTTTTTGCTAGTGAATTTTGAAGGCTGGGTGGGGCGGTGGGGGTGGGAGTTGCTGAACATGAGTATTCAGCTATGTACATTTTAATAGCATTTTTTAAAGCTGTTTGATTACAATTTACGATTTGTGTTTATTTCATATATAACTGTATCAACCTATAGATTTAAATTCAAAGTGATATTTTAGGTATCATTCAATGCTGCAATTGAGCTGCAAAAATATTATACAAATAATATATATATTATATACTTACATGCATATATATATATATATATATATATAATGTATATATTTACCAGGGACACTTTTACCATTCCCGAGCGTCTCCTCCCCCTTTTACCAAATCCTGCCTCCACCGCTGGTGTATATTATTCTGATGGAGATGAACTAGCCATCTGATAGAAATGTTATTTTCTATCAACAACCTGACTAATGCTGGTCGATTTTCTTGAAAACGAGTGCACCCATCTACACAACCACAAAAGTGGTGGCTGATATTCCACACGAGTTACTGCCCCTGGAATCGAGCAGCGACTAGTAATCGATTATTTACTGTCCTGCTCAAAAGTAAAATATTTAGTTTGGCGCTCAGGCCGACACGTTAGTTCCTTTGACATACGTTCCTGGCAAATGTTGATGCATCAAACAGAACAGTTGCCAGTTAGGCTACGGTAATATTTTGCATGAGCCACGGTTCGAAATTTACTGTGAGTTAATATCAAAACGGCGCAAATTTTGTTACGGTGTGGGGTTTAAAGTAGGTGGAGGGGGGGGGGACTATGTTGTAGATTTATGATATTGTAACCTTCTAGTACTAAAATAATTAAACTAAAACGTTTTAAAAGATTTTACTAGATGACCTAGATTTATGGCAAGTGAATTCAAAAGAGCAGCGTTGTTTTTTTGGCTTCCATAAATGACGTCACTCTTTCAGAAAGGAGAGAATCAGAGATCGAGAAAAGGAGGGGGGGGGATGGAAGGAAGGGGAGGAGGGGGAGAAAGGATTGTGAGGAGGGAGTTCAGAGACCGTACTGTCTGAAATAGCATTCATGTAACGTGAATACATTTACATTTGTCCGTTGGATATCTGCAACACAATAAGATTTTAAGCTTGAGAATAATCTTCCACAATACTTAGAGATTGTTTGTATGTGAAGTTACGTGACAAAGCGTAAGACAATAAAATAACACATACAATCAGTTGGTATGGTACGCCAATTCAGAAAAAGATGAGAAATTTTTAAAAAGATGGGGGGGGGGGGGGAGTATAAAAGGAATAGAGTGACGTCTATATTGGAAGCTGAAATAGTAGGACAAAGCTTAGAAAAGCCTGAAAGACTGGCAGGACACTGTGGACGACAGAGAACGGAAATCCCAAGTTCCTCAAGCAGCCAAATGGAATAATGATGAGGATGAAGATCGGAATCCGTCAAACAGGAGCATTGTTGAAGAAAAAAAAATTATTAGAGTGTAGATACCCAGTAGATTTTGGGGTAAACATGTTTGTTAAAATATTGTTCGTCTGATTTGAAAAGAAAAGTGACGAAGGCCTAGCATTGCAGGCAACCTCGTTTTTAAAACAATGAAACTGTTTTCTTTAAACATTACAAATCGTAATGGTTATAATAGATTGTAGGAAAAAAATTAGTAGGCAAATCAAGGGAGAAATAGACCTATGAAAGGAAGGGAAAAACACGAGTACGAGAAAAGATATTTGCAGTAACGGAGAAAATCTATTTTTACTTTAAAGAAACTAGCTTAATTTTTCTTGATATGAACGACATTTTCTGGTTAGAATCTATTTAAAAAGAATCCTGCACATTAATTTGTCTTTGATAGACGGATTAAATTGAATTACATCGTATCCTTATTTCCCCTTTTCCCGTCATAAATCGAAACATGACTCCATATTCGTAAAATCTCCGACTGCTAGTTTTTCAATAACCTAAGCTCCCTGCAGTTTTCTTTATTTACTAGCGCTCTCTTATGTCAGAGGAGGATAGTCTACCTTTTGCTAGATGATGATGGCTTCAAACAAATAAAAATAGTGGGCAATATTGGTCTCGTTTTACAGATATTTGTATTTTTAAGGCATCCAAAGCTTTCTTGATGGCTTTTTGATTTCAATAACAGGTTACAAACGATCAGAGGAAACATGTTTAGCATGTGTTCAAATAACGAGTGTTGTGTTGTGAGCTCTAGTAAATATGAATAATGTCTTGAGTACTCCAATGAACTCTGCTGGTGTAGGGGAGATGAAGTTCAACCTACAGCTAACAATATAACATAAATAACCAATCTTCTTTGTGTTATACATTATCAAACACGTCTTCATTTCTTTATGCTTTTTGAGTGCAGCATGTGGCAAAATGGACACCCTCATCCCTTAATATAAAATGATGAAATAAACTCTGCTGAAAACATCTTAGTATTAAAAGGTGAAATAAACGTCGGCAGGACTTATTGCGTTATTTCATTTTTGTTAATTATCACCAATACGGATGTTTATTGGATGTAATATTGTATTATGTTGTAATATTACAGCTGATGAAACACTACGTCATATGTAATATTGATATATCTAAAGTTAAGCTGTGGTAATACATCTATATATATATATATATATATATATATATATATATATATATATATATATATATATATATATATATATATATATAGACATAAGCTGACGTAATGGTTTTCTCATATTGAGACATCTATCTCTTCATTGTTCTTTAAATCTTTTCAAAATAATTTGTAATGACTAGCATTACCTGTGCCTATATTTAGATGAGACCTAGAGGTAAGAGAGGGGTGGGGAGAGTGACGTCAGAATACTAGTGAGAATTCAATAAAAGTGTTAGCACCTCCCTCTTAAGTCAACAATTGTATGATCACGTGGGGTTGATCACGTGGGGTTGATCACCTGACTGGAGTAGAAACACATCTTAAAGATGAACACTTTGTGACCCACAACCCTAAAATAATACCAGCCTTTGTCATGATTCTTTGGATGACCTTGACCCTTATATCTGAAAGCACGTGCTATGATTTGTGCTAGTTGTAAACATACCAACGTTGGGTACCTCCATGAAGAGTCAGTACGTAAAAATTGAGGTGGGAGTTATATCAAGAATCATTGATGTTTTGAACACGACGGTATCAAAATAGCTAATACCGTCATCACTTTCTTTCAATAGAAAATGTAAAATGTATGTGAAAGGATGGAGGGGGGGGGGGGCTTAGAATCTTTAGAGCACACATAGAGCTAGATGCTCTAAGTGATAATTTTAGGTCGTACTATTTGTCCCTTTTAAGTAATTATTTTGCTGTTTTCATAAAACTCACGCCGAAGTTGAGTTTTTAGAAAATTCTATTCGCATGTGTTCTATTCGTAAAAAAGATGTTATTATTAAAATTTTTTTTTTATCTGTTACATCTAGTAATAACTATTTTGATTGGTTTAGGAAGGGTGGGTATAAAAGTTTCCTATGAAAATCTGCTTTATAAAAATAAAATAAAATTAATTTAAATACTTCTCAACACATTATTTCAATAGACCATTTAAAAAAAATCTAAAAATACAATCACTCTAAACTTGTGACATCTAATTAAAGAAACCTTTCTAGACTATGAGACATGCTATAGAATACACTGCTCTAAACACTGTGCAAATAACATCAATAATTGTAGCAATCTTCTAACCTGATGTGTGGCCATTACGTCATGCAAACTATGTCATCCCCTTTACCTGGCCCAGGTGTTCTTGCCATGGTCATCTACGTCTTCATCACCCTGGACATCAGCACCTGGGGCATCTCTCCCACGATAGTGCGACGAAACGTATCATGGGCTGCTACTCACCGTTAAAGCTCTGATCTCATTCTTCAGTACTCACTGTTTTCTGGGCAATACACTTCACTCTTCATCACGAAGTCTCCTTTTTTAATACGCTCTGTTGCTTTGACCACGATACTTTACCTTTCACTACTCATCGTAAGGGACTTCACTGCTCACAACTTACTGTTCTCCCTTTGACCAAGATACCTCACCACTATTCACCATTTGTAAGGGACTTCATTCCCTCACACATCACTGTTCCGTGACCCCGATGCCCCCCCCCCCCCTTACTCACCGTTAGTAAGCGACTTCATTGCTCACACCTTACTGTTCTTCCTTTGACCACTATAACTCACCCCCACTCACCATTAGTAAGGGACTTCATTCATCAAAACTCATTGTTCTTCCTTTGACCCGATGCCTCACCCTCCACTACTCACCATTCCCTTGGGCACAGAACTGTGCTTATGCCCTGGCGGCGGATCTTCAAAGTCCAGAGACAAAAAGAGCATTTTGGATACCACACCAAAGAAAATCTTTTTCAGTATTTTAGGGACTTCGCGTCCCCTGGAGCCCTTGTAGTGGATGTTGAGGACAAAGACGGTCATTCCGGTGGCGGAGGAGACTATAGCAATGGTGATACCATAATACAGACCTGGAACAAGGAAACAATATTGACACACACCAAGATTCTAGGCAGGCATTGCTAGACGCTACTGCACTTACCATTCCTTTCGTGCCCTTAGGACCCTTGATATCCTTAGGGTCTGGAGGCGATTCCTCCAGGTCCAGGGATATAAAAAGAACCTTGGCAACTACCCCAAAGAATATCAATTTGAGGAGCCTCGGCACCTCCCGTCCTCGGGCGCCCTTATGGTGGATGTTGAGCACGAAGACCGTCATACCCGTGGCGCAGGATACAATGGTCATTGTGATGCCGTAATATAAACCTGGAAGAACGGGGAATATCTTTAGGGGTCACCATGGAAACGTGACGTCATCCAACCTCTTTATCCGTGGGAGGGTAGGTGGGAGGGGCGGCAGGTGTATATTTTTGTTGTCGTTGCTGGTTAGTTCATTGTTAGTTGTTAATAGCTACACATAGGGAGATAGGGGTTAGCAGGGGAGTTTTAGAAGAGTGAGTTAGTGGCTGGGGATAGTAGCCAGAAGCTACACTAACACGTGATCAGGTTCTGCCAATCAAACCAGAAGAGTTGTATCTATTTTTAAAACTGCAGAGTTAAAAGTATTAAAATTTAAAAATATAATAAAAATAGTTTTTAAAAATCTTAGAAGAATATATAAAGATATTCATGAAGTTTATATTCTATATGATTTTGCATCAACTGTATGATTATCAAATTATTTATTTCAATTTTTTAAATTAATGTGTACAAAATAGTTGTTAACATTTAAAAAAAATGTTTTGGCTGACCACTGGAAATTTTTGTCTTCCAATATGGCAAATCTAAATCACGTCATATCCGGTCACAATCACTCAAACAACATGCATGATTTTAAATCTTTCACATTTTTCTTCAACATAGCCCGATCAAAGATCCAGAGATCAAAGAAAAATAAACTGTTATTAGAACGAAACATGCATTCATTGCTGCACTGAGTTATTTTTAGCCGTCGTGTCTTATCGGCTGGTCTGAACTACAGCAGGACGCGATACATCCTCGGCTAGACGATATTTCATTAACATTGTTTTGTGACGGAGCAGCAGAAGAAAATGTCCTGATGGCACTTCTAAACCAATCAGTTCCCTAGGCTTTTATTCCAGCCTATTACGTAAACCACTATAAGAATTTCTTCGCGACCCAAACTTTTTTGTCTACTTTTATTTTATCGAGTCACGTGAGCTAGAGCAGGGACACGGGGTTTACCCCCCCCCCCCTTGATTAAAAATATGACAAGTAAATTTATCGATTGAAAATGTAATTATCGTGCATAATTTTGGAGATTCACTTTGTATTAAAATCACAATTTAAATTTTATTTTAGAGCTCAAGTTTAAAAAAAATATATCTGGATAATGAGGAGTTTTTTTTCTTTCGGATCCCGAATTGCTTATACAATTTCAAAATTAATAATTAATTAGCTCGTCGTTAATGATTTTTATAAGATATTTTTTATACACCTGTTGACGTCCTATTGTAGAATATAAACAAAAATGTTCATTGTTTCAAGTGCCATCCATTACGTTTTCTGAGGTCTACTCATCCGTTTTGATTATTTCATTTACTCAATTCGCTGCTCATTAAGTTTAACTTATTAATTCTGCTAATTGCGTTTACTCGTTCATGTTTGTTGATACGTTTTACTGTGCACAGAAAGTCGGAGTCAATGTCGTATCGCTCTTTGTGCGGTTTATATTCTAAAGATCGCGTCGAAAATAAACATGGTTTGGTTTATATTCTAATGATGGTCTAAATATTTCTACTGGACCACAAATAAAAATATTTCTACTGGACCACAAATAAAAATATTTCTACTGGACCACAAATAAAAATATTTCTACTGGACCACAAATAAAAATGTTTCCACTGGACCACACATAAAAATGTTTCCACTGGACCACAAATAAAAATATTTCCAAGGGACCACAAATAATGACCAGACAGATCGATAACATATTTCCACTGGACCACAAATAAAAATATTTCCACTGGACCACAAATAAAAATATTTCCACTGGACCACAAATAAAAATATTTCCACTGGACCACAAATAAAAATATTTCTACTGGACCACAAATAAAAATATTTCTACTGGACCACAAATAAAAATATTTCTACTGGACCACAAATAAAAATATTTCTACTGGACCACAAATAAAAATGTTTCCACTGGACCACAAATAAAAATATTTCCACTGGACCACAAATAAAAATATTTCCAAGGGACCACAAATAATGACCAGACAGATCGATAAAATATTTCCACTGGACCACAAATAAAAATATTTCTACTGGACCACAAATAAAAATATTTCCACTGGACCACAAATAAAAATATTTCCAAGGGACCACAAATAATGACCAGACAGATCGATAAAATATTTCCACTGGACCACAAATAAAAATATTTCCACTGGACCACAAATAAAAATATTTCCGCTGGACCACAAATAATGACCAAACAGATCGATAAAATATTTCCACTGGACCACAAATAATGACCAAACAGATCGATAAAATATTTCCACTGGACCACAAATAATGACCAGACAGATCAATAAACTATTTCCACTGGACCACAAATAAAATATTTCCACTGGACCACAAATAAAAATATTTCTACTGGACCACAAATAAAAATATTTCCACTGGACCACAAATAAAATATTTCCACTGGACCACAAATAAAATATTTCCACTGGACCACAAATAATGACCAGACAGATCAATAAAATATTTCCACTGGACCACAAATAAAAATATTTCCACTGGACCACAAATAAAAATATTTCTACTGGACCACAAATAAAAATATTTCCACTGGACCACAAATAAAAATATTTCCACTGGACCACAAATAAAAATATTTCCACTGGACCACAAATAATGATCAGACAGATCGATGGCCTAAAATATTTCCACTGGACCACAAATAAAAATATTTCTACTGGACCACAAATAAAAATATTTCCACTGGACCACAAATAAAAATATTTCCACTGGACCACAAATATAAATATTTCCACTGGACCACAAATAATGATCAGACAGATCGATGGCCTAAAATATTTCCACTGGACCACAAATAAAAATATTTCCACTGGACCACAAATAAAAATATTTCCACTGGACCACAAATAATGACCGGACAGGTCGATAAAATATTTCCACTGGACCACAAATAAAAATATTTCCACTGGACCACAAATAAAAATATTTCTACTGGACCACAAATAATGCCCAGACCTATTGATGGTCTAAAATATTTCCACTGGACCACAAATAAAAATATTTCCACTGGACCACAAATAAAAATATTTCCACTGGACCACAAATAAAAATATTTCCACTGGACCACAAATAAAAATATTTCCACTGGACCACAAATAAAAATATTTCCACTGGACCACAAATAAAAATATTTCCACTGGACCACAAATAAAAATATTTCCACTGGACCACAAATAAAAATATTTCCACTGGACCACAAATAAAAATATTTCCACTGGACCACAAATAAAAATATTTCCACTGGACCACAAATAAAAATATTTCCACTGGACCACAAATAAAAATATTTCCACTGGACCACAAATAAAAATATTTCCACTGGACCACAAATAATGACCAGACAGGTCGATAAAATATTTCCACTGGACCACAAATAATGATCAGACAGATCGATGGTCAATACTGTACGTGATCCCTGATCTCGCGTGGGACAAAGGGTCAAACCAATAATCGTCCAGCGCTAGGCAGTGGTCACACAGGAGATTAGCGGCCAGCGTGATGACACACCCGCCGTACAGAGATGGATGGGCCAGGTCTCACTGCTGCAGTAACCAAACAACTTTACATTGGGATAGGGGGGGGGGGGGTGATGGGGGGTGATGTCAACAGTAGGCGAACTAGATGGCTGGTAGGTGGGGGGGGGGGGACGGGGACGGCACAGTAGGTAAGTAGGTAAATCGGATTAAGTAGGTGGGGGGGGGGGGAGTGTGAACAGTATTCAGATCAGATGAAGCTGGTGTGTGTGGGAGGGGGGGGGGGTGTCAACAGTAGGCAAATCAGATGGCTGGTAGGTGGGGTGGCACAGTAGGCAAATCAGATTAAGTAGGTGGGGGGGGGGGGGGGGAGTGTGAACAGTATTCAGATCAGATGAAGCTTATGTGTGTGGGAGAGGGGTGGTGGTGTCAACAGTAGGCAAATCAGATTAAGTTGGTTTGGGGGGGGGGGGGGAGGTGTGAACAGTATTCAGATCAGATGAAGCTGGTGTGTGGGAGGGAGGGGGGTTGTCAACAGGAGGCAAATCAGATAAAGCTATAGTTGGCGGGGATGGGGGGGGGGGGGGATGGCTACAAGGCAGCTGTTTTAATACTATAGTAGAAAACAAGTTCTAGGAGCGACTTCTCCCAATGCGTGCTACTCGTTTTTAGAACATGAGACGGTGAAGCTTTAAGGGTATAGGAGAATATAGGTGGACCTTTAACTGTTGGAGATATCAGTGTAAGTCTATTGGGTTGTTTAACTGTTAGAGATATCTGTGTAAATCTATTGGGCAGTTAACTGTTGGAGATATCAGTGTAAGTCTATTGGGTTGTTTAACTGTTGGAGATATCTGTGTAAGTCTATTGGGCAGTTAACTGTTAGCGATATCTGTGTAAGTCTATTGGGCAGTTAAATGTTAGAGATATAACCGTTGGAACTATCTATCAGAGTAACTCCAACAGATGAACCGTTGTAGATATCAGAGTAAGTCAGTTAGAGATCGTTAGCGTCGACCTCTTTTCCGTTCTCTTGAAAGGGGATGATGGCAGGAAATGCACAAACTGGCATTGATTGGAAAGATTTGCCCAGGATTTTGATAAACGTGAAATTTTATTCTGCTCGAGTGAAGAAACACGACCTAATCTCTGGCTTCTCGTCGCCATGATGGCAAGGGGAATTAACGCTTGTTTAACATCAAGCGGCACAACTCTACTAGTAAGCCACCCAATCGCCACAAATGTATTATGTTCATTTTGCTTAATCATTTGGTGCTTAGGAATAAGCTCTTATAAAACATAGTATTCTCATTTTAATACAATTCGAAAGCATCCAATTGAAAGTGTTGATTTAGGCGATTAGTTTTCATGGAAAGAAATATTTAAAATCTGTTCACTAGAGCGATTCATCTAGTTCAGTTATTCAATACCTGTTACCAACTATAGTCTTGACTGTATCCTCGCATACACATTTTGATATTGTGAATGTTTTATACAAAAGTGGCTGATGTGTGGACGTTTTTAAGTTTAAATAAATTTTTTAGGCATGTGGTAGATAAAGTATCTGTGTTTTGTTATGTATAAATGTAATGATTACATTTTTACATGGACAAATACTAATGATAACATTTTTACATATAAAAATGTAATGATTACATTTTCACATAGACCAATGTAATGATTACATTTTCACATATACCAATGTAATGATTATATTTTCTCAGTTTAGTCCAGAGATCGTTGCATCAAATTAAAAAAATTAGAAAGTGAAACTGTTAATTACATTAATTTGTTTATATTAATTAAGATTGAAGCATTAAAAAAAAAATAATGTCTGCTACTCTTACTGTTTACCTGTGATATATTGAATATAATTTATAGAATAAAAGCATGGATACGAAAAAAAAAAAAAAAAACAAGTGCCACATGCAATCCCTCACCACAGTTTAGGTGTTAAATGCAGAAATCGCGTCAAATTGCTCGTTGTATGAGCAATGCATAAAACAAGCACGGAGAGTAGATGCAGAGGATGCACAAGTCAACCTGCCACTGTAATTTGAGAATTTGTGTCCAGACTGCAAGGACTACATAACCACCATGGATTTCCCATCTTTCCAGAAAATTGGAAGCATTACGAAAACTGTTAAACTAAAGCGAATATGGCAAGGTAAACTGACATGTAAATTGCATGTCTGATGCAAAAAAAAAAGGGATTTAGCCTACCCCTCCCCCCCACCGCCATGTTTAAGTTGTCTAAATAAGTAGGCCTGTGTAAAAGCTTTGAAGAGATTATTTTTCCACAATTAAAATATATGAACTTGACATAGATAATTTTCGATCGTTCACTAATTTAGTAGCAAAGTCCAACGCTTTAGAGTGTAGTTTTATAAACTTTAAAAAAAAAATTCCTTGGGCGCGTTGCAGTTGTATAAAAAAGTCCATTATAAGTCAATTGTAAGCTTTATTTTTAGCTAGTCGAGAACATGCCAGGCAAGCAAGGACTGAAATATTGATCCAGATTTGTTACGTTAAAGGATAGAATGTTAAGGTTTTTATATCACCCGGATGCAAGAAATTTCACATGCTTACATTAAGCTCAGCTCAATCAGGTCACGATAACAGCAGCCGTTACAGCCAGCAGTCTAAAATCAAACTGTCTAACGCCACCACAACCAGCAGTCAAAAACAAAACTGCCTATTGCCATTACAGCTAGAAGTCAACCACACAACTGTCTACCGCCATTACAGCCAGCAGTTAAAAACAAAACTGTTACCGCCATTCCAGCCAGCAGTCTAAAATCAAACTGTCTAACGCCATCACAACCAGCAGTCTAAAACCAAACTGTCTAGGAACACACGCCAGCTTTTCAAAGCCAAACAAGTAACCCCATTAGCGGCGGCCATTCGATCAACTCTCGTGCATTGAGTACTCACCAACCAACGGAAGATCGTCTGAGGTGGGCGGCATCTTATCTGCCACGATCATCAGGAAGACGGTCATAGACAGCAACGTCGTGATGCCCATGGCGATTTTTTCACCTGAGTCTGCTTTTTGATTCCATGCAGGAATGAAAAGGTTGGATGGGTGGATGGAATGGTTTTAAGTGGTGAATAACGGCCCTTGTGCATTCATCCGTTGAACACATTTTATTTTGTAACAGTTAAAATATATGTGACACTAACAGTGACATATAGTAAATACAACATACACACCAATATATACAACCGACAACCAAGAACTCTACATACAATCTTCTCATACACTTAAAGGAATATACATCGACATTTTATGTTCTAATAGTTTGTTATGCTATTTTAAAATTTAAAAAAAAAATAAATTAATTAATAAAACCTTTAGAAATCGAAAACAACAAGAGTTTCAAAAAATAAATAAATAAATAAAATAAAAAGGATAAAAAGTAAAAAAAAAACCCAATGAAACAATAAGTAATGTTATTATTTTTTAAGATGTGTATAAATTATTATGTACAATCAGCTGTCGCATATACATGACCACTCATACATGACAAAAATCGTACCCAGTCAAATAACACAAAGCCTTTTGCACATATATGTTTACTCAATATCATCCCATAAACATGCACTATCATTTACACCGCGACGACTAGACATGACGTAACACGTTGTAAATTACAAACTGTATAGACAGCAAGAGAGACCTATTTAACACAATACTAAGTGAAATTTGAAACACCACACAACAATGATCGCAGACCACATAATCATTAGACAAATATGACCACACATTACACAACCAGAATGACCTATAGTCACACAAAATGACCTCTGATCACACATAATGGCATCTAAGACCTCTAATCACACAAAAAGACCTCTAATCACACAAAATGATCTCCACACAAAATGGTCTCTAATCACACAAAATGATCTCCACACAAAATGGTCTCTAATCACACAAAATGATCTCCACACAAAATGGTCTCTAATCACACAAAATGATCTCTAATCACACAAAATGATCTCCACACAAAATGGTCTCTAATCACACAAAATGACCTCTGAGCACACATAATGGCATCTAAGACCTCTAATCACACAAAATGACCTAATCACACAAAATGATCTCCACACAAAATGACCTAATCACACAAAATGATCTCCACACAAAATGGTCTCTAATCACACAAAATGATCTCCACACAAAATGATCTCTAATCACACAAAATGATCTCCCCACAAAATGACCTCTGAGCACACATAATGAACTCCACACAAAATGACTTCTAATCACACAAAATGATCTCCACACAAAATGATCTCCACACAAAATGATCTCTAATCACACAAAATGATCTCCCCACAAAATGACCTCTGAGCACACATAATGAACTCCACACAAAATGACTTCTAATCACACAAAATGATCTCCACACAAAATGATCTCTAATCACACAAAATGATCTCTAATCACACAAAATGGTCTCTAATCACACAAAATGATCTCCACACAAAATGATCTCTAATCACACAAAATGATCTCCACACAAAATGACCTCTGAGCACACATAATGAACTCCACACAAAATGACTTCTAATCACACAAAATGATCTCCACACAAAATGATCTCTAATCACACATAATGATCTCCACACAAAATGATCTCTAATCACACAAAATGATCTCCACACAAAATGACCTCTGAGCACACAAAATGATCTCTAATCACACAAAATGATCTTTAATCACACAGAATGACCTCTGATCACACAAAATGGTCTCTAATCACACAAAATGATCTATAATCACACAAAATGACCTAATCACACAAAATGATCTCCACACAAAATGGTCTCTAATCACACAAAATGATCTCCACACAAAATGATCTCTAATCACACAAAATGATCTTTAATCACACAGAATGACCTCTGATCACACAAAATGGTCTCTAATCACACAAAATGATCTATAATCACACAAAATGACCTAATCACACAAAATGATCTCCACACAAAATGACCTCTGATCACACACACTGTTCACTCAAATATTACACGTAAATGATAGTTTGAACAACAGAACATCGCATAAAATCGACGCCCCAACACTGAATGCCCACTCTTACATTACACAGAATGCCCAATCATACATTACATAGAATGCCTACTCTTACATTACACTGAATGTCCACTCAAATATTACACAAAACGACCACTCATACATCATACATCACTAGCCCCACCTCATGAGCACACCTCACATACAATGCACGTGCGACAGTTTGTCTAGAAACCCCTCACCTGCGGGCATGTAGAATCCCAGTAGTGCCACCAAATGACCACTAGTCCCACCACATGACCACTAGTCCCACACATGACCACTAGCCCCACACATGACCACTAGTCCCACCACTAGTCCCACCACATGACCACTAGTCCCACCACATGACCACTAGTCCCACACATGACCAATAGCCCCACACATGACCACTAGTCCCACCACTAGTCCCACCACTAGTCCCACCACATGACCACTAGTCCCACACATGACCACTAGCCCCACACATGACCACTAGTCCCACACATGACCACTAGTCCCACACATGACCACTAGTCTCACCACATGACCACTAGTCTCACCACATGACCACTAGTCCCACAACATGACCACTTGTCCCACACATGACCACTAGTCCCACCACTAGTCCCACCACATGACCACTAGTCTCACCACATGACCACTAGTCCCACCAAATGACCACTAGCCCCACCACATGACCACTAGTCCCACCAAATGACCATTAGTCCCACACACTACCACACCTCACATACAATGCACGTGCGACAGTTTGTCTAGAAACCCCTCACCTGCGGGCATGTAGAATCCCAGTAGTGCCACCATCGTGATGAGGATACAGGGGAACACCATGTTAAACACGTAGAACAGTGGCCGACGTTTGATGCGGATGTGGTTCTTGATGAAGATGTACGGCACTGGACAGCATGAAAATAATTTTTCCTGAAACGTTAGTTTAACAATTAGTGCTGTGTTTTCCTGGAACATTAATTTAACAGTTGTCTTTAAAATGTTTTTAAATGTTGGGTTCAGGCAAGTAAGTAATCAAGGATCTGTCAATTACTTAGACCCAACTCTCTCTTGATAGCTGACCAACACTTCGACCCACCTCTCTCTTGATAGCTGACCAACACTTCGACCCACCTCTCTCTAGATAACCTACCAACACAGACCCACCTCTCTAGATAACTGACCAACACAGACCCACCTCTCTAGATAGCTGACCAACACAGACCCACCTCTCTAGATAGCTGACCAACACAGACCCACCTCTCTAGATAGCTGACCAACACAGACCCACCTCTCTAGATAACTAACCAACACAGACCCACCTCTCTAGATAACTGACCAACTTAGACCCACCTCTCTCTCCTGCAGATAACTAACCAACACAGACCCACCTCTCTAGATAACTGACCAAAACTTAGACCCACCTCTCTCTAGATAACTGACCAAAACTTAGACCCACCTCTCTAGATAACTGACCAACACAGACCCACCTCTCTAGATAGCTGACCAACACAGACCCACCTCTCTCTCCTGCAGATAACTGACCAGCTCCCACTCTGTACTGTTCTTGTAGTTTGATATGTCCCCCACCTCGTCCCCGATGGTCTCCAGGTTCAGACCGCCGTAGTCGTAGGTCCAGCTGGCAAAGTTGAGCGTGCAGTGCTGGTGTGGGGGGGGGGGGATAGACATTTAAATAATAATAAGCAACTACATCCTTTTTGTGTAGAATTATGTGCGTTGTTTGGTAGATTGCTGTGTGTCGCCAGTGTGTAGAAATCTTTTTTCGCTCGTGTGTAGAATGTCTGTATGTGTGTAGAATGATCTATATGTGTGTAGAATGATCTGTATGTGTGTAGAATGATCTGTATGTGTGTAGAATGATCTGTATGTGTGTAGAATGATCTGTATGTGTGTAGAATGATCTGTATGTGTGTAGAATGATCTGTATGTGTGTAGAATGATCTGTATGTGTGTAGAATGATCTGTATGTGTGTAGAATGCTGTTTGTTGTGAAGCCTTAAATTGTTCCATCTGTTGCTAGAAGCCCCACCGATTCTGGGTTCCCCCCTCCCATCTCCACCCCAACTCACCTGGGTATCAAAAGGGAAGTACGTGACGTCAACTTCACAGGAACTCTTAAAAATGACCATCTGAAGCCACATGACCTCCCCCGTGTAGTTGACTATGACATTTGTGCTGACAGACTCGTCCGTTATCATGGCACTGTAAACACAAGGGGGGGGGGGCAATACAGTAGAATACAGAGGTTGGTTTTATGTAGTGTAGGGGGTAATGGAACATGATGGGTGGGGGGGGGGTGATACAGTAGAATACAGAGGTAGGTTGTATGTAGTGTTGGGGGGGGGGTAATGGCACAAGGGTGGGGGGGTGCAGTAGAATACACAGGTTGGTTGTATGTAATGTTGGGTTCATAAAGCGTTACGTCATTAATGATCGACACCTTGATCTGAAGTCTGCTCAAGTTTTCAGTCACCATGTTCAAGTATGTGGTGTCAGTGTTGTCAGTCGTGTCGGTATTGTCAGTGGTGTCAGGTGTTTTCAGTGATGTCAATGGTGTCAGTGTTGTCAGTTGTTTCAGTGTTGTCAGTGATGTCATTTTTGTCAGTTTTGTCAGTGACGTCAGTTGTGTCTGTCGTGTCAGTGTTGTCAGTGTTGTCAGTGATGTCATTTTTGTCATTTTTGTCAGTGACGTCAGTTGTGTCTGTCGTGTCAGTGTTGTCAGTGTTGTGTCAGTGATGTCAGTGGTATTGTAAACAAACTAACACCACCAGCACTGACCATACACATGTCGTCAGCACTGACCCACCTGTTGTATAAGACGACGTCCGGCAACCAGACTGTGTTGTACGGCAAGTTGATGACGGATATATTGCCGTACTTTCTGGGGTCCCACCGAAGTTTTGGGTCGACCCAAATCTGCAGGAATAGATTAGTCAATCTGTTACATACAAATTCAAACACAATTTTGGCGATTTAACAACTTTCTAATAGATCAAATTTCTTGTATAGCTACGCAAGATCTGAAGTCACCGATATAACCAATCACAATCTACGCTATAATACATCTAACTATACAGCAAACTGAGTCTGTCGTACGACAGTAGAGCTTAATGTCTGTTTAACTGACGGACATTGACTGACCTGGTTGATCCAGCAGTTTGTTGTGATGATTTGATTCTTTTCGTCCTGAAAACAAAACAAGAGCTTTCATTAAAAACATAATGCGCCACCATAAAGATGCGCGTTGGTCGTTAGATTATGGATTGAAAAACTTTGGAAATCGTTAGGCACATCTATAAAAATAAACAGACTTGCAAACAATTACATTTAAATCCCTATAAGCAAGAAAAGCAGGCATGCTATGGGCTATTTATAAAATGACAGGCATTTATCAGCATTCAGTTGTTTACAAAAACACCTAAAAGGCTAAGAAATTAAAGATTGATAAACATAGATATTGTTACTCAATCACCGGTTGAGCTATTTTTTAAAACACCAACACCGTATTTAATGTATTCAGTGCTGTATAAACGAATTTTCATATTTATTATAACCTCTAAGTATTTAGAAGTAAAATTTTTAGACATAGATACGAACCTCCCCTCCCCGTCTGACCTTGCATTCATAGTCCAAGTACAAGTATTAAATTGACCACTTTAGTATTAAAACCAGAAGATCGTATGTTTGGTATAAAATTTAACTTAGATGGACTGTTCGACCGTGAACGTTTTTAACCCCCTACAGGTCGAAATTACATAGGATGGAACCAAATAAAAATATATCCGACAATGAGATTTAAAACCGGGTCTCCGGTGATGTAGTTGTTACATTTTTAAAAAATGTATGTCAAACTTTTTCACCGTCCAATATAGGGTTTAAGCTACAGAAGATGGAACCTTCTATAGAAAAAAAAGATCCAACTAAGAAATTTAAAACATGATCTCAAGTGACCAAATGTTCATGCCATGATATAAGAATTCACTTATGATGTAGGCCTACTCGTATCATTTTTAAAAATTTATGTCAAATATTTTCACTGTCCAACATAGAGCACGATAGACTTTTGTAAATAAAAATACAAAACACAAGCTGGTGGGCAGAGAGGAGCGTATAGACAGACGGACGGGCAGATTTAACAAAATACAAAGTGACTGACTGACTAAAAGACGGACTGACGGAATGATTAAAAGACAGACGATGGCCAAATAGATAATCAGCTCAGAATAGTGGCCCCTGGCCACCCAGTGCTTTTGGTCATCTAGAATTGTTTATGTGTGGATGGCCTGGGAGGGGTAAAATATTCATGAAAATTGTAGCAAGCGCCTCATATCGAACGCTCAGAAAATAAATGGCTCTGGAAATAGAGAGAAATAAAAAGAAGAAAACTAATGAACAAAAAATAAAAGAAACAGAACAAACAAAAAAAACCTAAAAAACAAAGGTTAGAAAATCTGGAGTTAAAAAATCTGCTGAACAGAATTTTTTTGTTGGATGGATGGTTATTAAATTTAAATAAAAATAAGTAGAATTTCTCAATTAAAAAGTTGATGAGGTTTAATTTTTTTGTTTGGTTTACTGCTCAATAAAACGTCTTTATTTAAAATCCGCAGCCTTTTGATGCGTCTTTTTAATGAGATCAAATCTACTTCGCTCCGTCTTCCAAACGAACCCCATTTTTTTTTAAACGAAACACCCCTCTCGTTTTGGGCCCTTCAACTTGTGGATTCAATGATTTAAAACTAAACTGGTTTGCTCATTTCAAATATTTCTTTTTTTACTTTTCACACTTTTTAATCAGTTGAAACGAAAATCGCGTCTTCTGCAGTCATTGCGAGGCTCTTCAATACGAGGAAAATAGAAATCGTGTTCTTGGGTATTGTACAGCCCACATTCTCGACTGCATTAATCCGAGTACAGAACATTATCATCTGGTAACGATTTTCCAGAAGTATTCGATACTTTTGAAATGTACCAGTTATGATACGGGTATCGATTATGCTGATCACTGGCACACTTTCAAGCAATTATGTAAATAAATCATCAGTCTGAGAATCGAATACGTCCGGCTATTTTACCCACTACGTCAAGACTACATGGGTTGCTGATGACGCGAAGATCAGAACCGATACTATAAATAAACAGCCAATAGCAACCGACCTTTTATCTGGTGTATGGTCGAGAATGTTGGGGGAGGACGGCCCGTCTGGCTCCACGAAATGATTGAGCTACAAATGAGTACCTAGCCTAATGGCAGTGATGGATGCCAGCCAAGCCAATACCGTGTCACGGCGACCCCCCGGGGACGGGGGAGCAGATTTAGATTTTTATTCTATTTAATGATCCCTATGCAAAAATGACTAAGCTGTTCTTTTGTGTACACTTGGCTTGTGGGAATCGAATCCAACTTTTCTTTATCGCAGATAGTGTGTGTTTCGCTTATATAGTAGTGAACACGATACAGCAGAATCGATTATGCATGAAATGTGAATCAGAAGCAGAGAGAACACACGGGATTGCCTGAAGTAGACATTTGGTGACACCTTGGGTGTCTGGTGTGTAAACACCACCGGTGACTTGTATATATATACGTCATGGATTAAGGTGCTTTTAACTAATGCATATAAGGTGTGTGAAGAAAATTGGTGTCGATAGCGTAAATATCAGCAGCATTTTGTGTGTGTTGAGGGCGTCAGTTATGTTAACACATAATTGGTCATTGGTGTAAGGACACCATGGGTGTGATCATCATCGGTATTTGGTGTATGGGTGTCTGGGTGTCTGGATGTATGTGGGTCTGGATGTATGGTGTATGGGTGGACAGTGTCTGGTTGTATGTGTGTATGGGTGTATGTGTGTCTGGATGTATCTGTATGGGTGGACAGTGTCTGGTTGTATGTGTGTATGGGTGTATGTGTGTCAGGATGTATGGTGTATGGGTGGACAGTGTCTGGTTGTATGTGTGTATGGGTGTATGTGTGTCTGAATGTATGGTGTATGGGTGTACGGGTGTGTGTGTATGGGTGTCATGTGTCATATTTTGTACCATGATATGTATTTGGTGTATGGTTTCTATTTCTCTTTGCTGGTAGGTGTAAGTTGAATACCATTTTAGGATTTACAGCGGGGTATAAATGTCGGCCTATATCTCTGTGTACATATGCATATCACGTGTACATCTTTGTCCGAGTGAATGTCTTTAAACTAAGCAAAGGTCATTATTTTGTCTGTAGGTCTGTCTGTCTGAAGTTGCCTGTCTTTATAAAGTTGCCTCTCTGAAATTGCCTGTTTTTCTAAAGTTGCCTCTTTCTAGTTGCCTGTCTGAAGTTGCCTGTAGTATTTCCAGAAAACCGGTTGACTCCCTCCCCCACCCCCACCCCCTCCCCACTCGCGCTGAATTCAGCCTGTATAGCGCGGTAAGATAAGATTCGCTCACCCCACAGTTTAATGGCTGAGGTACATGTGTCCATCAGTTGCTATCGATTTTTTCCCCAGCAACTGTCCCCCATAAAACGCCCATCAATTAGACCCATACCTCTACCTCCCCCCGACCCACACAGGGGAAATCACCCGCGATCAACCGTCACCAGATTTCATGCCGCGGCCACTTTGGAAGATTTTCAAGATTTTATTTAAGGAGCAACCGAAGGCCATGAGGCAGGAACTATATGACTGTATTATGCAGCCGACGACACGGGGTAGAAGATTAAAGCAAAACATGGCCGAACGACGCATCGCCGATGCAGACGTATGCCTTTAAGAAAATGGCCGTATAAAGCGAGCTGTTTGTTTTATAGATTACTTCTGGGGAACTGATGACCCCGAATTCTCACGGAAAGGATATCGTCTCGGGTGGTGTGATCTCTGGGGGCGCATGCGTGAATGTCATGTGACCCGTTGTATGTAAACAAGGAAGATGGCGCCCAAGGTGCCTGAAAGTGGGGCAGAAAGACTGGTAGTGGGTGGTTCTAAGACTAGCCCCTACAGATTCAAACACTACTATGGAAGGCTCTAAGACTAGCCCCAACAGATTGAAACACTACTATGGAAGGCTCTAAGACTAGTCCCTACATATTCAAACACTACTATGGAAGGCTCTAAGACTAGCCCCAACAGATTGAAACACTACTATGGAAGGCTCTAAGACTAGCCCCTACAGATTAAACTCTATACAATTATTTTAATTGACTCCTATTTTCACAATACTTGATACAAAAAAAAAAGAAATCAAAGCAACTCGGAACATAATTTAACTAAACCCAAAAACAACCGATGGACTTTACCTATTTACTGGCACTATTACTTAGCCGTAGAATTATTACACCGTCTTCATCAGAAAATATGGCTGTAGATATGACATTATGTTTCCCAAGAGGTCCTTTATTCGGTAACTACTTCCCTGAAGGACCAATCGAACAACAGATAAAATCAGCGGCCTCTGTGCAAAAGACAAAACTGTTCATCCCACAAAAGTCGGCGGTCGCTGTTTTAAAGACAAAACTTTTTACCCCAATAAAGTCGGCGGTCGATGTTTTAAACAAAACTTTTCATCCCATTCCCTAACAAGAGTGGCTTTGATTTCCGATACAATTAAAGCATTGACGTCATTGTCTTGATTGCCGTAAATATCATTGATCTAGACTGGCTGTCAGTAAATGCCAAAGTTATTCCAATGTTAAACTGCCGGTCAACGTCCATGCCAAGTATTTCCCTAACCCTAACCTGTCTCTATGTCAACAACAACGCCATGATACTTTAAATCATAAATGCCTTTTTATAGATTTGATTATTATAAATAGTTATAACATAACACCATCATATTTGTATGAATATTATTCTTTATATTTTTTTAGAAGATAATATTAATCATAATCCTATCTTTAACTTAACCTAATCTCAGTATTTAGCAATAACCGTATACTACTATAACTCTTGATTCAAATGGTATATTTTTAGAATTACACGTTGAAACATTCCAGGGTACGTTATATTTGAATGTCTGCAACTTTTTAAAAAAAGTTGTTGAAGGTAAGTTGGATCTCCGCTACAGAATATAGATCCAAGTCTGATAGCAACTTTTTAAAACCAGTTGTTGAAGGTAAGTCAAATCTCCGCTACAGAATATAGATCCAGGTCTGCTGATAGCAACTTTTTAAAACCAGTTGTTGAAGGTAAGTCAAATCTCCGCTACAGAATATAGATCCAGGTCTGCTGATAGCAACTTTTTAAAACCAGTTGTTGAAGGTAAGTCAAATCTCCGCTACAGAATATAGATCCAGGTCTGCTGATAGCAACTTTTTAAAACCAGTTGTTGAAGGTAAGTCAAATCTCCGCTACAGAATATAGATCCCGGTCTGATAGCAACTTTTTAAAACCAGTTGTTGAAGGTAAGTCAAATCTCCGCTACAGAATATAGATCCCGGTCTGATAGCAACTTTTTAAAACCAGTTGTTGAAGGTAAGTCAAATCTCCGCTACAGAATATAGATCCAGGTCTGCTGATAGCAACTTTTTAAAACCAGTTGTTGAAGGTAAGTCAAATCTCCGCTACAGAATATAGATCCAGGTCTGCTGATAGCAACTTTTTAAAACCAGTTGTTGAAGGTAAGTCAAATCTCCGCTACAGAATATAGATCCCGGTCTGATAGCAACTTTTTAAAACCAGTTGTTGAAGGTAAGTCAAATCTCCGCTACAGAATATAGATCCCGGTCTGATAGCAACTTTTTAAAACCAGTTGTTGAAGGTAAGTCAAATCTCCGCTACAGAATATAGATCCCGGTCTGATAGCAACTTTTTAAAACCAGTTGTTGAAGGTAAGTCAAATCTCCGCTACAGAATATAGATCCCGGCCTGATAGCTTTCACACCTTCTGGTTTGGCAATACGACTCAGACCCAGGAGATTGTCGAGCAGTAAATTATAAGACAAAAACTGCTAGCCTTGTTCAGACATCCCACTCGATTCATTTCAGTTCGCGCTCAATTTGACATCTAAATACAAAGCTCTGCGTTCATGTTTTTAGAAAAATAAAAATATGAATTTTAGAAACTTTTGAATTCTGAATACGTTGTATCAGTGGCGTAGCCAGGATCGTCTCAAGGGGGGGGGGGGTTCCAATTTTTACCCGGGGACAAACTTTCGATTTGCACCCCCCCTCAAACTTTCGATTTGCACCCCCCCTTATACTTTTTATATATACCGAGGGGTCTATGGGGGCTATGACCCCCCCTAACCCCCCCCCTGCCTACGCCACTGCGTTGTATACTAACGAAATCTGTAGGTAAATTTAAATTCCAGCAAATATTCAATTCGACTTGAATATGAATTCTTGATGCATAATTCTGTATACTTTTAAACTTTAAAGTATTGATGAATTTGAAAGCTACATATGCATTCGATATATTGCTGCTGCATTACATAAGTAAATTTAAAATCAACCAAATCTAGCTAATTACAGTTCTTGCTAACAATAAGAATAGTTTAACATATTTTGACTTCTTGCTTGTTTTGGCATGCTAACTATAACTGAATTCTATCTGACTTTGTTCAAAAAAAATTTTTTTAATGTAAGCTGAGCATTGCTGTAGTGAGTGACTCAGTTTAAGCGTATTAAAAATGTAAACAAAATTGGTTAGCACTAATTCTTTATGTTATGAAAACAAGCGTCAATCATTGTTTCTGGGCAGCGCTAGTGCCCCCCCCCCTCACGTTTAAGATGGTAAATATGTTGTCCTATCTAGGGGTTCCATTGCTGTATAACACCGTCACTATGATATTTACATGTCCACATCAAATCCTTAAGATAAATGGCTAGACAAAATAACCAACGAAGACCTATGGTAAACCACAAAACAACAACCGAGTGAAGGGGATATGAAAATCCGTAAAAACGTAATTTATATTTACCTCTACACATCAATATGTAACCAATTTACATGAACAGAGTGTAAAGTATGTATAGACATCATAGTGTGTATTTACACCGAGGGATCAACATGCTCATACCAACATTACACTTGCTCACAACATTTTTGTTACACGTAACATTTGCTTTCCTCACCCCCCCCCCCCCCCCCCCCCATCCCCTTTTGATTTTTCAGTAAACATTGCACCGACAAAATTATTGATTTGATTTTTTATTCGGAAGGTGCACCATGAATACCAATTTTCACAACACCCAAAGGGACGCTACTCTCAGACTCGTACAGGTTCTTTCCCTTCCCAAAGGAAGTTACACTAGTCATATTTGGAGTTTTCTCCCTTAATATTTTAATACTTCTTGGGCATCCATTTTGATTGAATTTATTGGATTTAGTCATATTCCTACAAGACGAAAAATTATTTTTGAGACGTATAAATTTATTTATCAAAAAGTAAAAACTGCTAGTAAAATATTCCCATTAATTGAATTCAAAGAGTGTCGTTATAAAAAGTCTAGACTAAAACATGCGGGCTAATCCCAGGTCTAGACCAGGGTCACGTGGAGTGTGAGTAAGTAAGACTAGGTGGTAAGTATGACTTGACTTGACTTAGGCCTCTTTGCTCCTGGTGTAACATAGGGTATCAACTTTACTCTTCCATTTTGTCCTGTCCCCGGCTATTAATTTTGATTTTCAAAATCTATTCTATCAAGACTTTAAAAATTATCCATTCATGACTTTAAAGTCTAACCATTCATGAGTTTAAAGAACAAACATCCATGACTTTCAAGATCAAACATTCATTTCTTTTAAGATTAAACATTCGTGATTTTCAAGATCAACCATTCATGACTTTAAAGAACAACCATTCATTACTTTAAATACCAACCATTCGTGACTTTAAAGGCAAAACCATGCATGACTTTAAAGACCAACTATTCATGACTTTAAAGATCAACCATTTATGACTTTAAATAACAAACATTCATTACTTTTAAGGCCAACTATGCATGACTTTAAAGACCAAGCATACATGAGTTTAAAGTCCCTGACTCACCAGGTCTATGATCTGTGCCAGCGCCACACCAAACGACACATTGAGGGCCTGGTTGTTCATCAGGCTCGGCTTGACCTGCTTGTTGTAGGTCTTCATCAGGTCACGCACCAGACGGTACTCGTCATCACTACCCATGCTCAGGCACAGACCTGTAACAGGCGAGATGTGGGGGGAGTGGTGAGTACTGGGGTGTGTGGGATGTGTGGGAAGTGGTGAGTGCTGGGGTGGTTTGTGTGGGATGTGTGGGAAGTGGTGAGTACTGGGGTGTGTGTGGGATGGGTGGGAATCCATTAGTGCTGGGGTGGTTTGTGTGGGATGTGTGGGAAGTGGTGAGTACTGGGGGTGGTTTGTGTGGGATGTGTGGGGAGTGGTGAGTGCTGGGGGTGGTTTGTGTGGGATGTGTGGGATGTGTGGGGAGTGGTGAGTACTGGGGGCGGTTTGTGTGGGATGTGTGGGAAGTTTTGAGTGCTGGGGGTGGTTTGTGTGGGATGTGTGGGAAGTCATTAGTGCTGGGGGTGGTTTGTGTGGTTTGTGTGGGATGTGTGGGGAGTGGTTAGTACTGGGGGCGGTTTGTGTGGGATGTGTGGGAAGTGGTGAGTGCTGGGGGTGGTTTGTGTGGGATGTGTGGGAAGTTTTGAGTGCTGGGGGTGGTTTGTGTGGGATGTGTGGGAAGTGGTGAGTACTGGGGGTGGTTTGTGTGGAATGTGTGGGAAGTCATTAGTGCTGGGGGTGGTTTGTGTGGTTTGTGTGGGATGTGTGGGGAGTGGTGAGTACTGGGGGCGGTTTGTGTGGGATGTGTGGGAAGTCATTAGTGCTGGGAGTGGTTTGTGTGGGATGTGTGGGGAGTGGTGAGTACTGGGGGCGGTTTGTGTGGGATGTGTGGGAAGTGGTGAGTGCTGGGGGTGGTTTGTGTGGGATGTGTGGGAAGTTTTGAGTGCTGGGGGTGGTTTGTGTGGGATGTGTGGGAAGTTTTGAGTGCTGGGGGTGGTTTGTGTGGGATGTGTGGGAAGTGGTGAGTGCTGGGGGTGGTTTGTGTGGGATGTGTGGGATGTGTGGGGAGTGGTGAGTACTGGGGGCGGTTTGTGTGGGATGTGTGGGAAGTGGTGAGTGCTGGGGGTGGTTTGTGTGGGATGTGTGGGAAGTTTTGAGTGCTGGGGGTGGTTTGTGTGGGATGTGTGGGAAGTGGTGAGTGCTGGGGGTGGTTTGTGTGGGATGTGTGGGGAGTCGTGAGTACTGGGGTGGTTTGTTTGTGATGTGGGGGGGGGTGGTGAGTACTGGGGGTGGTTTGTGTGGGATGTGTGGGGAGTGGTGAGTACTGGGGTGGTTTGTGTGGGATGTGTGGGAAGTCATTAGTGCTGGGGGTGGTTTGTGTGGTTTGTGTGGGATGTGTGGGGAGTGGTGAGTACTGGGGGCGGTTTGTGTGGGATGTGTGGGAAGTCATTAGTGCTGGGAGTGGTTTGTGTGGGATGTGTGGGAAGTGGTGAGTACTGGGAGTGGTTTGTGTGGGATGTGTGGGAAGTGGTGAGTGCTGGGGGTGGTTTGTGTGGGATGTGTGGGAAGTGGTGAGTACTGGGGGTGGTTTGTGTGGGATGTGTGGGAAGTGGTGAGTACTGGGGGTGGTTTGTGTGGGATGTGTGGGAAGTTTTGAGTGCTGGGGGTGGTTTGTGTTGAAATGTTTGTTAAATCTTGACTTAAGTATTCATATTTAGTTTAGGGATGTCTTAAGTCTTTAACAAAGGACTTAAGAAATTTTATGTTGATATGTGTGATAATAGTATTGAGCAAAGTACTGAGGATGTATTAAATAGGGATGTTGAGTAGGTCTGTGGGAGGCCTACTTAGGATGTTTTGTTTTAGGATGCCAGATAGAGATCTTAATCAAACTACTAAGGATGTTATGAATAGGGATGTTTTTAATGTGTTTTACATAAGCAATTAGAGATGTTTGTCTACAATGTTAACAGTACTGGTAAACTTTGTTAACAAAATAGGCAATATTTATATGAGGGATATTTTCTAAATGTTTGCACAGTGCCATGGCAATATCTTGTACTGGTTCCAATTGTTTAACTGTCATAGATTTTGACAATTTCCATGTTCTGAGCTTAAATAACTAACGTCTTAAACTCTAATTGTTTCTGCTCTATAAGTAAAAATATTTAATTAGGCTGCGTGAATTAACGTGATGTAAACTGTAGTAACTTCCGTATATGTGTTAGTGACTTTTTATCTTTATGGGACTTTACGATTCCTCTGACGTTCAAAGATTGAGATGTACAATTTGTAACCTGTCGAATCTATGAAATCTTTGCATTTAATGCGTGTCACATTAGTTTAATTGTGGAATTTATTCTTTCACACTTAATATTGCTTACGAGATTAAAAAAATGACTTTAGAAGCTAGTTTTTTTAATTTTTATTTTTTTGTTCACTTAGGTGAACGTTTCGTCTTTTGGCCGCCGTAAAAACTTTCACTTGGGTGAACATTTTGTTTTTGGCCGCCGTAAAAACTTTCACTTAGGTGAACATTTTGTCTTTTGGCTGCCGTAAAAAGTTTCACTTAGGTGAACATTTTGTCTATTGGCCGCCGTAAAAACTTTCACTTAGGTGAACATTTTGTCTTTTGGCCGCCGTAAAAACTTTCACTTAGGTGAACATTTTGTCTTTTGGCCGCCGTAAAAACTTTCACTTAAGTGAACATTTTGTCTTTTGGCCGCCGTAAAAACTTTCACTTAGGTGAACTTTGGCCGCCGTAAAAACTTTCACTTAGGTGAACATTTTGTCTTTTGGCCGCCGTAAAAACTTTCACTTAGTGAACATTTTGTCTTTTGGCCGCCGTAAAAACTTTCACTAAGGTGAACATTTTGTCTTTTGGCCGCCGTAAAAACTTTCACTTAGGTGAACATTTTGTCTTTTGGCTGCCGTAAAAACTTTCACTTAGGTGAACATTTTGTCTATTGGCCGTCGTAAAAACTTTCACTTAGGTGAACATTTTGTCTTTTGGCCGCCGTAAAAACTTTCACTTAGGTGAACTTTGGCCGCCGTAAAAACTTTCACTTAGGTGAACATTTTGTCTTTTGGCCGCCGTAAAAACTTTCACTTAGGTGAACTTTGGCCGCCGTAAAAACTTTCACTTAGGTGAACATTTTGTCTTTTGGCCGCCGTAAAGACTTTCACTTAGGTGAACTTTGACCGCCGTAAAAACTTTCACTTAGGTGAACATTTTGTCTTTTGGCCGCCGCAAAAACTTTTTCTTAGGTGAACATTTTGTCTTTTGGTCGCCGTAAAAACTTTCACTTAAGTGAATTTTGGCAGCCGTAAAAACTTTCACTTAGGTGAACATTTTGTCTTTTGGCCGCCGTAAAAACTTTCACTTAGTGAACATTTTGTTCTATTACACCTGCTGCGTCAAATGGCCGTGCATAAATGTGAAGAGCTTTATAAAAAATGTTTTTAAAACATTAATTACCACGGTAGGGCGGAGAGATGAATGATTAGCTAATTTAATAACTTGGAAAACGGATATTCCCGCTGACGAAAATAGATGCGGCGAATCTGTGCGTAGAAATGTTTGAACTAATGTTAACATGGATAGCTGTTAAGTTAAAAAAAAAAGCAACCCATTAAAATAAAAACTGTTTAATAAAAGCTAAGTTAAAAGAAGTTTTTTTAAGTTCGGGTTAATTAAATATGCATATATAAACGGGGATATCTAAATTGATTATAACTAAATTGTAGCTTGTGAAAATGGTTGAAGTTTTTATATCTAAATAATGTTTGAAGTTTCTTTTTACACCGAAATTTTTTTTAAAAATCTGCACAATATGTGTATGAACCCTTGTACTTAAATTCATTATGTAGATCCATGTCTGTTTATATAGTCACATAATTGGTCATTAATACGAGTGGTTCTAAATATTAACCCCGTTTTGGTATCCTCAAAGATTAGTCATTGTTTCATTATGAAATTTTTAATTATTGATAGTACATGGCATCAAACGAGCTTTTTATGATTTATAAACTCTCCAAGGATTTATAAACTTACCTATTTATGATTTATAAGTTCACGTATCTAAAATTCGTAAACTAATATTTTTAAGATTTATAAATTCATCTACATTTTATAAACTAGACTATTTACGATTTATAAATTCATCTACATTTTATCAACTAGACTATTTAAGATTTATAAATTCATCTACATTTTATAAACTAGACTATTTAAGATTTATAAATTCATCTACATTTTATAAACTAGACTGTTTAAGATTTATAAATTCATCTACATTTTATAAACTAGACTGTTTAAGATTTATAAATTCATCTACATTTTATAAACTAGACTGTTTAAGATATATAAACTCACGTAAGATTTATCACGTTTCCAAAATTTATCAATGCATCTATTAAAAATGATATAAATTCACCTATCTAAAATTTATTAACTCACAAGTCTAAGATTTATAAATTCACCAATATAAATTTATATATTCACTTATCAAAAATGTATCAACTTACCCAAGATTTATAAACTCACCTAAGATTTATAAAACTCGCCTGTCTAAGATTGATAAATTCACCTACAATGTATCAACTCACCTATGTTTTATCAACTCACCTAAGATTTATCAACTCACCTAAGATTTATCAACTTACCTATGTTTTATCAACTAACCTATGTTTTATCAACTCATATATCTAAAAATTATCAACTCACTTATGTTTTATCAAATCACCTAACATTTATGAACTCACCTATGTTTTATCAACTCACCTATGTTTTATCAAATCACCTATGTTTTATCAACTCACCTATGTTTTATCAACTCACCTATGTTTTATCAACTCATCTATCTAAAAATATCAAATCACCTAAGATTTATCAACTCACCTAAGGTTTATCAACTCACCTATGTATTATCAACTCATTCATGTTTTATCAACTTACCTATGTTTTATCAACTCACCTAAAAGTTATCAACTCACCTATGTTTTATCAACTCACCTATGAGAGATCCGAAGATGACGTAGACCGAGTACAAAACACTCCAAACATTCATTCTGTTGTTGGCTCGTGTCTGCTGGCTCTCATCGGCTCTAGTGTCAGCACTGTGTCAGTCTTGTGTCAGTCTTCTGTCAGTCTTGTGTCAGTCTTGTGAGACTCTTGTGTCAGCCTTGTGTCAGTCTTGTGTCCTTCTTGTGTCCGCCTTTACCACAGAATGATGTAACCTTCACACCGCCACGTTCAGCAAAACTTAGGAATGTGTTACACAAATACTCCGAGCCTTACACGTCACAAGAATATCCTTCTCACTGATGAACTTAATTAGGGCCTAACGAGAAAGCGTGTTAAAATTATCCAGTAGCAAAACTTGTTCAACTTATAATTTTTGTTTACAATTTTCTTTTCAAAGTATTCACTTTTGTAAAATACACATGTAAACAAATATTTCCCGTACGCCGTAGAAAATTTGCTGTTATATTGTGTATCAAAATTTGGCTTAATCTCTTATCATCGGACTTAGTCAAACTTATGTACACAACTCGACGCAGTAGGCCTACGTTGAAAGAAATTTTAAAGTTCCAGTGAAATTTTAAATTTAACCAGTAAATAAATCACATCTAATATGCCAAATTCCTCTTGTATCCACAATCAAAACAACTATCCACAATCCAATCAAAATTCCATCATTTGAAAAAACAAAGTATTAATTTTACAAAAATAAAAAGTTTTACCGTAAATAGAGAAAAACACTCAAATCAGCCCATACTCGAATAACACATCTAAAAAATCTCGTCGATGTTTCAAATGAAAGAAAACACAGCGTCCAAACGTTATTCGTACAACAGCTCACAATGAAAGTTCGAGGGTAAAATGCGAAATTTATCGCATGCTAGCCATCAGCTTTCAGACTCCGGTTAGCAGAAGGTGATATGGAGAGAGATGCAGATAGATCCTTGTCGTTGCCTGCCTTCAGTGCATGCGGTAATTGCAGATTGTGTCATGACTTAAGAAAACACGTGGGGGGAGAGTCTTGTGTAGGTGGCGCTGTTGTCTCGCCTGGCTCTCAGGTAACTGCGGCTCCTGCCGGCTCGAACTAGACGAGAAAACATAAGGTGTTAAACGTGGGCTCCAAGAAATATATACACGGAGTAGGGAAGGTGTGGGGGTTGAGGGTAGGGGTGGGTAAACAAAATGAAGATACATTGAGGGTAAAATAACCGCGATCGGTTTTATCAATCAAATGAAGACAATATCAACTAAGCTCTCCCAAAGTTTTATGACGAAACAAAACATGATAATGAGATCAGTTTTATCAATCAAATGAAGGTGGGATGCAAGTATCCCCTATAAAACTTGATGCTAAAACAAAGTGTTAGCCACTTGGTGAGGCCCAAGTTGGCAAGGTGTAAAGATGGAATCACAAAGTGAAGTCCTTAACACGATAAAAACCTCACAAACTGCTTCTCATGTTTTACTAGCTGCTTCTCGCCCTCAAGGGGTTAATTAAATTTGAATATGAAAACCTGGACGTGTTATCTAAACGTCTGGAGACGGGAGACGTTCACTGCTAAGTAAACGCTTGACGTCTGCAAAGGTAAAGTGATGCAAGTTTATTTTTTGAATATTTTTATGTCATTAAACTATTACATTTGATCGGTAAACCGATATGGTTCGTTTAAGAAATGAATCGATATATGAGGCAAATAATGAAGGAAAAAACAATAGCGAACAAGTGTACTATACACCTACAAAGTCTACAGTACACCTACAAAGTCAACAATACACCTACAAAGTCTACAGTACAAAGTCTACACTACACCCATAAAGTCTACAGTACACCTACAAAGTCAACAATACACCTACAAAGTCTACAGTACAAAGTCTACAGTACACCCATAAAGTCTACAGTACACCTAAAAAGTCTACAGTACACTTACAAAGTCTACAGTACACATACAAAGTCTGCAGTACACCTTCAGTACACCTACAAAGTCTACAGTACAAAGTCTACAGTACACCCATAAAGTCTACAGTACACCTACAAAGTCTACAGTACACCTACAAAGTCTACAGTACACCTACAAAGTCTGCAGTACACCTTCAGTACACCTACAAAGTCTACAGTACAAAGTCTACAGTACACCCATAAAGTCTACAGTACACCTACAAAGTCTACAGTAGACCTACAAAGTCTGCAGTACACCTTCAGTACACCTACAAAGTCTACAGTACAAAGTCTACAGTACACCCATAAAGTCTACAGTACACCTACAAAGTCTACAGTACACCTACAAAGTCTACAGTACACCTACAAAGTCTACAGTACACCTACAAAGTCTACAGTACACCTACAAAGTCTACAGTACACCTACAAAGTCAACAGTACAAAGTCTACAGTACAAAGTATACAGTACACCTACAAAGTCTACAGTACAAAGTATACAGTACAAAGTCTACAGTACACCTACAAAGTCTACAGTACAAAGTCTACAGTACACCTACAGTACACCTACAAAGTCTACAGTACACAGTCTACAGTACAAAGTCTACAGTACACCTACAAAGTCTACAGTACAAAGTCTACAGTACACCTACAGTACACCTACAAAGTCTACAGTACACAGTCTACAGTACAAAGTCTACAGTACACCTACAGTACACCTACAGTCTACAGTACACCTGAAGCGATTCGTCTTATCTTCAGACAACCTGACACAGCGTTATGGCACCAACAGATGGTTCAACCAACAGCACTTTACAGCAACGTTGTAAGCCAACAATTTATGTGCAAACACAACAGTAGCTAAATATGTTGCAAGTTTGCATGGGCACATACACGCACACATACATATGTACACACACACTCACCCGCACACACACAGTTGCACACAATTTTACACATAAACACACATTTACATGCACTTGCTGAAATAGAAACACACGCACACACACATACTTACACACATGTACACACACTTACATACACATTTACACACATAAACACACTTACACGCACTTGTTCAAATAAACACACACGCGCACACACACATTTATACACACACGCACAAACGTTTACAGCCACATGTACCATATATTTGTTTAAACATTTTTTTACTAGTTAACTTGAACAAGCCACTGGAACTGCCATTACACGGACTTTGTTTGTTTAGTGGTGTGTTTTTTTTTTCTTGAAGGAACATCCAGGCGACTTCATCAATGGCGAAACGATGCGAGGTGGAAATGTTGTTTGAACACCCCCGACAGATGGGGTCGAGGTGAGGTAAGAAGGTGTTAACTAGGAATAAACCAGATCACAGCCAGGAATAACGGGAGACTTCGTGTTGTGCGCGGACGATCAAGAAGTTCGTCTGTGGCGCCGGGAAAACTTTCCTACTAAAATAATACACACAAACTGTAGCTGGTTTATCAAGGCGGAAACTTGGATGAACAACGTAAATTTTGGGGAGGGTTCCGTGTTTTTAAACTCTCGTTGTGCGCCGTACATTCGGGGAGGGTTTCGTGTTTTTAAATCGTTAAATGATGTACCAGTCATGATTTTAGACGGTATATCTGCGCATTACCTGGGGATGCACCACCCGGCAAGTAGCTCGGTATTACCTAACATTACCTGTACAATACAATCAACTGTGTTGCCTGCACAAATAATCCTCTATTTTTACTGTATAATACAGTCCCATATATATATATATATATATATATATATATATATATATATATATATATATATATATATATATATATATATATATATATATACAATACAATCACCTATGTTACCTGCAAAACATGATACCCTATGTTACCTGTAAAACATGACCCCCCATGTTACCTGAACAACATGATCCCCTATCTTACCTGTAAAACATGATCCCTATGTTACCTGTAAAACATGACCCCCTATGTTACCTGTATAACATGATCCCCTAATGTTACCTGTAAAACATGAACCACTATGTTACCTGAACAACATGATCCCCTATCTTACCTGTAAAACATGATCCCTATGTTACCTGTAAAACATGATCCCCTATCTTACATGTAAAACATGACGCCCTATGTTACCTGTACAACATGACGACCTATCTTAAAGTACATCAACGATCACCGTACGATGTTCACTAACTAGCTAAGCGGCCACAGCATGCGTGCTTTGAATCCTCTGCCAACACTGATAACCAATCATTCGTTAGTTTGAAAACAGAAGGGAAGTTATTATAAACAAATCTTGATACTTTCACTTATTGAACGCGTTTAAAATTCCTAGCTTACCAATTATACCAGCAAAATCTATCTACAACATTTATTTTAATATAATAAAACAGCTCGAAATTTTGACTTGATGTAGACGCCTAACCTTAACACATTTAAACAATTTTAAAATAATCTCTCAATCTTATAAACGAACAAAACACGGCTTAACTTATACGCTAAGACACAAAAAGACACGTGACAAAACTAAGCTACATAACACACAACATACACACAAACTAAGCTACAAAACACACCCAATAAACACAGAAATTCAAAGTCAACAGAAATACGACAAACATACAAACTTAGCAAACAGGCCAAAACATACCAATTGACAAGAATAGAAATTTATGCATGAAAAAGCAAATGTTAATCACATATATCGAAAACTTACAATTAATAACTAACCGCTAATTAGTTCACTTCACGATGAATTAAGCGTTATACAAAGCTACTTGTACAAAAGTCACATGATGAGATAAAAATCATCGCTTTAAAACAGAGCCCATCGTACAAAACACAAAAGATAGACAAAACTCCTATTTTGAAAGCATAAGCCCAAGTAACAAAAAACCTCCAAGACAAACTAAACTCTAAACTTGAAAACAAAGTCCTCACAACAAAAAGAGCTACCCAAGAACTAGTACTCCCAACCCAAGGGACTTAATGCATCCGAAAAGCCAAAACAGCTCAGCCTTCGGATTATTTCTGGACGATTTATCTTCCCCTGGTACGTGTAAAAAAGTCACGGGCGAGAGTTTGTTTCAGCATAAAGCAACCATGTGATTTTATTCACTCCTAGCTAGCCAATTAGAAAGTAAACGACAATGTGAAATATATCGTGAGCTCAGTGATGGATTCCCTGTGTTTTTGTTGGCTGGAAGAGATCACGTGACGTGGAGCCTTTGTCAGCCATTCCATTGTTTTCACCACCCAGGTCTTCCCGCCAAAAAAAAAGATTTATGATCTGATTGGATGGATTATTGGAAGGGGAGGTAAGCGGTTAGACCGGAACTCATCCATAAAATAATGACGGCCTCGGCCCCAATGGATGACGTCACGTGCTTTGTCTTATGGATGCTGAGAAGAATGACCCCTGACTTAGGAAGCATTTAGATACAAAAACTGCACCGGGTTTTGTTTTAACTTTTATGTTTTTAAACATAGCACACGTAACCATCTAAGATGGACACTGCATCTATATCATTTTATTTTAATTTTTTGTTTCGTGAAAATTTATTTCGTAGAGATAATTAACTATAGTTTTTAAATTAGTTTTTGTTAATTACACCAATGTATTTATAAAGAAGATTTAACAAACTGTACAAAATTGCGTACAGAAAGAGCTGTACGGAACTGATGTGTTCAAAGATGTGTGTACACAAGGTATATGTACACACAATTTGTGCACCACAATGTGAATTATTATTTATCAACAGAAATTATACCTGGTGATAAAACTTGTGTGAATTAAAAAATTAGAACACGTGAATACAAATTATACGAATGGCAATAACAGGCAAAGAAAATACGTACCGATAAATATGTTAATGTGTACTTATACATATGCGAATAACACATATTTTTGAGAACAGGAGTTATGCAAAGAGAAATTAATGTAGAAAGAAATATTTTGGGTAGAACCGTAATTGAAAACAAATATATTTAAACACAAAGATTTGTAATCACAAATATTTATTAACACAAATATACGAATACACAACAGTATACGTAAACACAACCATATATGTAAACACAACTATATATGTACATCCAGCTGTCAAAACAACGCTCTCTTGTCTACTAGAGTGCTCACGTTTT